TTGGTCCGTGGGCCAAAGCTCTAACTGCTGAGCCAAACCAGCCAGGGCTATATGTATATTTTTAATATTGTTTCTTATGTTTTTGTTTTTTTAAGAAAGATAGAAACATCAATTTGTTCCACTTATTTATGTTATTCATTGGCTGCTGCTGACAGGGATCAGACTCACAACCTTGGTGTTTGGGGATGATGCTCCAGTCAGCTGAACTATCTGGCCAGGGTTTGTTATGTGTTTTATTGCTTAAAGTCGCAGAATCTATCTATGATAAGTGAGAATTTACTGTATATGTACATATATACACACAAACACACACATGTAACTATATATAATTACTTGTGGTTTATAGGTGCTATTCAGTTGTGAGCTACATGAAAATGTCTAGCCAGTGTGGCTCAGGGAATTGAGCGGCATCCCATGGACTGGGAGGTCCCAGTTCAATTCCCAGTTAGGGCACATGTGGGCTTGATCCTCAGTAGGGGCCATACAGGAGGCAGCCTATTGATGTTTCTCTCTCTCCCTTCCTCTCTCTCTCTAAAACAAAAATCAATAAAAACATTTTTAAAAATGTTGCATAAATGAATTTAAAGTGTTTATTATTTTTCATACTCAATTTTGACATTTTTCTATATGTTTATACTGTGTCTTATGTATTCAGTATCCAGTTCCAAAGTATCTTATTGAAAATAATTTAGGCTGCCCTGGCTGGTTTGGCTCAGCTATCAGAGGGCCTGCAGTCCAGAGAGACCTGGGTTCGGTTCCCACTAAGAGCACATACCTCGTTTGCAGTTTTCCCCGGCCCTGGTTGGGTCGTGTGTGCAGGAGGCAGCCACTCGATGTGTCCCTTTCACATCAGTGTTTCTCTCTCTCTCTCTCTCTCCCTCCCCCCCTCTTCCCTCCCACTCTATCTGAACAAAAAATGGAAAAATATCCCCGGGTGAGGATTAAAAAAAATAATATTATAGGCTTATGGTTATTGAGATAACATTTGTGTTGGTTTTTTTTATCCTTACCCGAGCACATTTTTTTCATTTTTTGTTCAGATAGAGTGGGAGGGAGGGAGGGGGAGTGAGAGAGAGAAACATCGATGTGTAAGGGACACATTGAGTGGCTGCCACCCACATGACCCAACCAGGACCGGGGACAAACTGCAACCGAGGTATGTGCCCTTAGCAGGAATTGAACCTGAGTCTCTCTGGACCACAGACCGACACTCTAACCGCTGAGCCAAACCGGCCAGGGCGAGATAACATTTGTTTTGTATGCTATCAACAGTGTTAAAAATGCAAAATCAGTAACATTTGCTAAACTTTGAAGAAGGGGAAGTGGAATGCAATGCCCTTATAAACTCATATTTCTGGTGTTCTTAGAACAGAATGCAGAATAATAGTTCCTGTTGGGAACTAGCAGAATTCTAAGTTATTATTAAATTTAAAATTTTTAGTCATCTAAGAATTACATCATGGCTTGGTTCTTCTGCTTCAGAAAAATGTGGCCAGTGTGGCTCAGTGGTTGAGTGTCAACCTGTGCACCAAGAGGTCACCAGTTCAATTCCCGGTCAGGGCACAGGTTGTGGGCCCAGTCCCCAGTGGGGGGCGTGCAGGAGGCAGCCAATCGATGTTCTCATCCATGTTTCTCTCTCCACCTCTCTCTTAAGCTCTCTCTAAATCAATAAAGAAAAAAAAATATTTTTTAAAATAATATTTAGTGCCCTGGCCGGTTTGGCTCAGCGGTTGGAGCATCGGCCTGCGGTCCAGAGAGACCCGGGTTCTGTTCCCGCTAAGGGCGTGCACCTCAGTTGCGGTTTGTCCCCGGCCCTGGTTGGTTGTGCGGGTGGCGACCACTCGATGTGTCCCTTTCACATCGATGTTTCTCTCTCTCTTCCTCTCTCTCCCTCCCACTCTACCTGAACAAAAAGTGGAAAAATGTCCTCGGGTGAGGATGATTTAAAAAAAAAAAATTAAATAATACTTAGTCCTGGCTGGGTAGCTCAGTTGATTATAGAACGTTATCCCCATACACCAAGGTTTCGGGTTTGCTCCCCAGTCAGGGCACATACAAGAAGCAACTGGTGAATGTATAAATAAGTGGAACAACAAATGGATGTTTCTCTTTTCTTTTCTCTCAATAAATTAAATTTTTTTTAAATGGTATTTGTTACCAAATATTTACCTGGAAATTATCTCAAGGAAGATGTGGGATTTCTTTCACGATACTTTAGCAGTATATAGAAATCAGGCCCAGCCTGTGTGGCTTAGGGATTGCGCATCAACCCACGCACCAGAAGTCCCCGGTTCAATTCCCAGTCAGGGCACATGCCCAGGTTGCAGGCTTGATTCCCCAGTGGGAGGCGTGTAGGAGGTAGCCAGTCGATGTTTCTCTCTCTCTGTCTCCCTTCCTCTATGAAATCAATAAAAAACTTATTTATTTATATATATATATGTATGTGTGTGTGTATGGAAATCAGATTGCTTTCCAAGACTAGTATTCATCTTTCCCCTGCATAAAGGATTATTTTGAGCAGATCTTTGATTGTTGTGAGGAGACTCATTTGTTTTAAATATTTCTTTTAAAAGAAACAATACCTCCCTGTTTGTTTCCTCCTGTGTATGCAAACATTTTATTTAGAAAATTTTTCAAATCTACAGTAAAATTGAAGGTATGACAAGTGGACTCTAATAGATTATTAACAAGTTTTGCATTTGCTTTATATATACATACATGCTCACATATTCTTTATGCTGAACCCTTTGAAAAAAATGTTGGCTGTCAACACATCGCCCTTGAATACCTTAAGTATCTTGAGAACAAGGCAGTTGTCACTTGTAAGAAATTTAACATTGATACAGTAATTATGCATTCCATATTCAAATTTCTCCATCTGCCTTTTCTTGTATAGCTGTTCATATCAGGATCCAAAGATCACATGTAGCATTGGTTGTCATATTTCATTAGTCCCCTGCCTTTTTTGTCTTTCTTGACTGACGTATTTGAAGACTCCACACAAATATAGAAGGCATATAATGTAAGCTTGTTTTATTATTATTAGTGGTACTAAGTTCAGTTACCTGGTTAAGGTGGTGGTGGCCAGATTTTTCCATTTGAGAAGGAACTTTTTCCCCATTGAGATTGGTCATCTGTAGGGTGATAATTTGAGATCATGTGACTATCTTGTTCATCAAAAACCAGTTTATCAGTGGTTTTGGCATCCATTGATGAGCATGGCCTGAATTAGTTACTATGTTGCAGAGTAGTGATTTTTCTAATTATGTGATTCTTTCTACATTTATTAGCTGAAATTCTTACTGATGTAAAGAAGAGCTACCCTTCCCATTCATTCATTCATTTTAATAGACTACCTTTAGAGCAGTTTTGGGTTTATGGCAAAATTGAACAGAACTTACACAGTTCCTATATGCACCCTGCTCTTGCGCATGAACAGCCTGCAGAGTAGTAGTACATTTGTAACAATCAATGAATGTCTACATTCATAACGTCATTATCACCCAATGTCCAGTTACATTGAGGTTCACTTAGTGTCTTACATTGTATGGGTTTGGACAAATGTATAATGGTCCCACTTATTTTTAAACAGCTCTTTTTTTTTTTTTTAATCCTCACCCGAGGACATTTTTCCATTTTTTGTTCAGATAGAGAGAGAGAGAAACAAACATCGACGTGAAAGGGACACATCGAGTGACTGCCACCCGCATGACCAACCAGGGCCAGGGACAAACTGCAACCGAGGTACACGCCCTTAGCGGGAACCAAACCCAGGTCTCTCTGGACCGCGGACAGATACTCTTACCACTGAGCCAAACCGGCCAGGGTGGTGCCACTTATTTTTATATTATCTGTACAACTTTTTTTTTCTAGATAGAAAAAAAAGGGAGGAAGAGAAGGAGAGAAACATTGATGTGAGAGAGACACATACATTGGTTGACTTCTGCACAACCCTGACCAGGGCCAGGGATTAAACCTGCAACCCAGGTATGTGCCCTTGACTGGGAATCTAACCCAAGACCCTTTGGTCCACAAGCAGACACTCTAACCACTGAGCCCAACCAGCTAGGGCTGTAAAACATTTTTAACCTCAGGTTGTAGGTGGCAGTGATAATGGTACTTGTTACTCTATACATAGATTCTGTGTGTTAGGCAGTGTTTGAAGTATCTTCCATTTGTTACTTCTCAATAACGGAAGGTCTTTATTAGTATTAGCCCAATTTCACAAATAAATAAATGCTTAGAGAAGGTAAATGCTTAGTAAGTGGCAGAGCTGGGATTTACACTGATACCTCTGCAAATTGTCAGTGATGAGGCACAGTCAAGGTCCTGCCTTTGCCAATTTTTAGCTCTGTAACCAAGGACAAGTAGACTACTCTTGTTACATCTGAGGAAATGGCATTGACATTTAAATGGATAAGTAATATGCACCACATATTTGAGGACCCAGTGAAGTAATGCATGGGAAGTGGAGAATAGTATGTATGTAGATTTTGCTGCACAAAATCTAAAATTTTTATTAGTGTTATTTAGCTATAACTAAATAGCAAGAAACAATTGAATTGTGGATGTGTTAAATTTCAGCAGCTTCATTAACCCCTCCTGAGTACAACGCAATGACTAGACAGTCTGTTTATGTATGTATTAGTATTATGGGATGTGAGGGAAGGCATTTACTTAGGTTTTAGGAGATAAACATTTTACAGGTGCTGATTTCTAAGTGAATACAAGAGAACCATAGGAGCAAATGTTAATTTGATTTTCCATAGAAACGTATGTGTACATAGATTCTGTGATTCTGTGGACATTTCTGTCACTAAAAAATAGGCACCTTTTTCATAAAAAAATATTTGGAATACTCATAATTTCCAGGTGATGTTATTGTATAGAGTGGAGCGTTTCACCTGGGTGGTGTAGCTAACTGGAAGGCATTTTTATTGTTCCTGATGTAGAACAGGAACATATGGGCAGACTTGAATCCTGTCTGTTTCCCCTCCTAGGTCCCGCGGCACTGCTGGTGGCCATGGTTCCCGCAGCCAGAAGGAGCTGCCCACAGAGCCCCCCTACACAGCTTATGTAGGAAATCTACCTTTTAATACGGTTCAGGGCGACATAGATGCTATCTTTAAGGATCTCAGCATAAGGAGTGTACGGCTAGTCAGAGACAAAGATACAGACAAATTCAAAGGTGAGTTTGGGGGAAATTCCTGTACATTATTTGGGATCTAAACCAGAACGTGTTAGTGAACCGGGGGCTCTAATGTATTTAAATGTTTGGTTGGTCCAAGTAACTGAAATAACGCAGCACTGTAACTCTTGGGCCTTCAGTTCTACTTGGGGGAAAATGTTTTACACATCTAGTTTGTAGAAATATATGGCATATATCCAAGTAGACCTGCTGTTTGCAGTAAAAGACTTAACATGGGAGAGAAGTGAACAGATAAATCTAAGGACTTTTCAGGTGTATTTCACTTAAGCCAACCTGTGCATTTTTCTTGGTAGTTTTCTTATAATTTAGTTATTTATTATAAAATCCAAAAGATAACCTAATAATGTTATCACTAGACATTTGTGACTTTAGAGTATGTGTTTGGGAGAGGGTTGACTCAAATTTCAGATAAACTTAGTGTCTATAGATTAGTATCTTAAGGGCATTTGATCAGAGAAGGAGTAAGAATGAAGAATCAAATGACATCATCTAGCTTTCAATGTTGCCTGAAGGGAAATGTGCCCAGTAGATAAATGCATGGTGCAAGGTAAAGGGCATTTTGTTTACATTATTTATCCAGAAGTATGTTACTATGGTGACTTACAGAGGGGAGCTGTACAAGAAGTAAAAGTGTTGCTCGTCTGAGTGGTTCTGTGTATAGTGGTATTTTTTTTACTTTTTGAAAGGTTTTTTACTTTAGAACCTGAAGCTTTGTTAGCAAGTGATCAAATAGTGAAAACAAATATGTCAATTAAACTTGTGTAAGTAAATCTCAGCCAATTTGCTTGCTAATAAGCATTAGGAATTCAGACTTAAAGATAAGTAGGTGAAGCCAACCTTTGAGCTGAGTCAGTAGCAGCAGCAGGTTTTAGACTTTGGTCTCATAGAGGATCATCTTCAGTTTCAGCAGCTCTAGGGTGTGAGATGTGTGACTGGGCTGTTGTTGCTTCTTTGAACTTCAGAGTGGTTTTCTCAATTTCGCTGAACATTCAGTCCACTTAGGGAAGAAGGCTGGAGGGCAGGGGATACTCTGCAGTCAAGCAGTACATTCTTTGTGTAAGCACTTACTGAGCAAATGGTGAACAGGGAAAGTTTGGACCCAGGCCTTCAAAGCACTTGCGGTTTAGTGGGCTTTGAAGGTAAAGTATAATCATTACATAGGATGAGGATACTGTGGCAGGGGTGGGGGGGGTTGCAGGGTGCAGTGTGAGCAAATTAGGGCAGGGAAAGTACTTAACGCAGATGGCAAGGAAGGAACGTGGACAAGAGTGTTGCAAGTAAAGAGAACAGCTATTCAGAGGCTTTTATACCAACTACCTAAAGTAGTAGTAGGCACCTTCATCCTCTCCTTCAGAGCATGTTGGTATCGGCTTTGAAATCTCTCTTAAAACCCCAATTAGGGTATATTAAAGTCATTCAGAAATCAGAACCAACAACTCTCCAAGAAAGGTTTTATTATGGTTAAAACATACAAAAAGAAAGCTTTATAAAAACACAGCTGCTATTTTAGTGCCTGTTTGATTAGTACTTTCCGATAAAATATCACTGAGGGAAAAATACCAATCAGGTTCTATTTATTGAAAAATAAAACATGTTCTTTCAGGCTCTGCTAGCCTGCAGTCATCTAGATGCAACAAAAATGGTAGTTCTTATGTGGACAATTTGTACAAATAGGGATCCCACGTTATTTTTAACCCATAATTTCTTGAGGAAATAGAGTTTGTTTTCTTTTACAGGATTCTGCTATGTAGAATTTGACGAGGTGGATTCCCTTAAGGAAGCCTTGACATATGATGGTGCAGTAAGTATGTTCAGGTTTTCTCTGTCATGTTAGTGGTTGAGTTTTTTTCTTGCTAATACTTACACTGTTTTCCCCTTATCGTTAGCTGTTGGGTGATCGGTCACTTCGTGTGGACATCGCAGAAGGCAGAAAACAAGATAAAGGTGGCTTTGGATTCAGGAAAGGTGGACCAGATGACAGAGGTGATTGGTTCTTCTAAAACTGAACATTAAATGTACTGGTTACAACTCTGGAAGCTTACCAGTAGAACTCTGTCTTGTAGGTCTGATAGGTTTTTGTGAGCTTTTATAAACATAAAATCTTAGAATGGATGATGCTTCTGCAAGCCTGGGGTTGTTGGGTTTTTTTTCTGTTGGCAGCACAAACTCTTTAATTTTATTGAACTTCCCATCACATGAGTTGTACATCGTCCCAGTGAATTTTTCCATGTGTGTGCAGCAAGGTAATGATTCGACCTCAACTTTATCTTTTTTGTGTATCCTCAGGAATGGGTGGCTCTCGAGAATCTAGAGGTGGATGGGAGTCCCGGGATGACTTCAATTCCGGTATCAGTATTTAAAGTATCACCACTTAACCTTTTTCAGTGGCCTTGCTGCTGTTGTACATTTCTTGTGAGTAGCCGGCTTGGCTGGACTACTTCTTTAGTTCCTTTGACAAATGAAACTTTCCCAAAGGTACCCAGGCATGCAATAAGCCTCTATTAGAGCCTAAATATTTGGGGTAGGGCCTGAAAGGTTTTACACGGTGGGCAAGTTAGACTAATTGACCCACCTTGTTTTGTTACCTTTCCTTCGCCGACTATTCTTATTCTCTCGGTGCCTTTGTCTCATGCAATAGTGTTTCTCAGGGTCTAGCCTAATGAAACTCCTTGATGGCTCTTGTGTATATGGCACATAGAAATACTGTTCTAGAAATATAGAGAGGTTCTAGAAATGTACGGAAACCCATATAACTGGTTTCTGGTGGCTCCCTCAGAGATGGTAAGAGTCCTGGTGAACTATTTTTTTCCTGAGGAGCCCAGAACTCATGCCTTAATGACTTTACCATTCCTGGTTTTTCCTTTTTTTTTTTTCTTTAGAGAAAGAAAGGGAGGGAGAGGGAGAGAGAAACATCAGTTTGCTATTCCATTTATTTATGCATTCATTGACTGATTCTTGTATGTGCCCTGACCGGGGATCAAACCAGCAATCTTGGTTTATTGGGATGATGCTCTAACCAACTGAGCTACCCTCCCAGGGCCTACCATTTCTTTTCTTAACTTACCAAGGCAGGCCAATAGGTGCCTCCTTGGCTCAACTTAAGAAGCCAGTTTGCATGCTAGGCCTCTGCTTTGAAAAATCTCGTAAACAGTTCTTCATTTCTACTATTTGTTTGTTTGTTTTTAAAGCAATTCATATATGTAGTAAAAAAATATTGTAACAGAAAAGTAGAAAACCAAAAATGTTTTCTTTTCTATAAACTTATTTCTGTACTCTCCAATATATGAGAACATCAACACTCCCACCCACCCACCCTATCACCTCCCCCTATCAAAACAAAACTCAGTATAAAGTAATGGGTAAGTATGAGGGAACTGATGCAAGGTGTCTTGAAAGTCTGCAAAGTTTTAAAATTTATTTCCAGTACTGCTCTAGCTAAACAGATGACTGATTATATCTATTGAATAATTTAATTTTTAAAAGTCCTATAGCCAATTAGAAATGAGCTTATTCATAAAAGTACAGTATAATCCAGTAAACCTGTAATTTTATGTATAAGCTAGTCTCTGATTGAAACATGCAACAAATGTCTTCTCAAAGCCAATTCAGTGGCTAAGTGAGTAGTGGTCTTTGACCTGCCTGTTGTGCATTTCCTGGTACTGTAGAAGGAGCACAGTGAGCTCATAGCTCTGGACTGTGGAAGTTAACCAGTGCCTTTCTACTATTGGCTTAGCTTGGGCTTTAACTCTGAAGCAGAGACACATAGTGAACATAGCCAGAGAAACTACCTTGCCACCCACCAGTTTCAGTGTGAACTGCAATGTTTTGGTGAAGTTGCCCCAATGGTAGAGTAATGCCTATATACATTATTTACGAAAATAGGTCTTTTTTTACTCTTCAAAAGAATGAGTGGTGCTATTTTTTTAATGATATGTGCTGGTCAAAAAAAAAAGTTAAGCATTACCAGAAAGCAAATAAAAATTTTAAAGTCCCACCACCAGAAATGGCCAGTGTGTTAAACTAAACTTTGTAAAGAAAACTCAGAAGATTCTCATGAATAGTGTGCCTCCTGGAAATCTCATCAGATTGATTAAAAGATTCAGCCTTGCTTTTCTCATAACCTTTCCAATGCTCGTTATCATAAGATACTTTGAAATGAAGCCGTCCCTGGTAAAGTCCACTGGTTTTTTCTTCTATACTTTGTCTCATATACCTGGACAATGTTGCAGTTGTGTTTTATCTGCCTTGTCAATGTGGTTGTGAGCTGAACACTGGCAGCAAAAGTTATTAACCTCATTAAGAAAAAGTAACTTTACTTTCATACTCACCTGGAAAGGTACACTTCACAGTTTAGCTTAGTTTGGGAGAAGTGTCAGGTTAAAAGACTGAAGAATCTTATACTTGGACTATATGCATTCCCACTGTGTTTTCCCCCAAAGCAGTGCTGTTGTTTGGTGTAAGTCTTTTTTAGAATTATTTTTATTGCTTGTTTTGTTAACATGGGGATTATTCAACTCAGTCTCTGAACTGGATTTTAAATAACATTATTTCCAAAATCCTTGCCTCCCTTAAACAATAGGAAAAGTGCCACCATTGTAGATAGAGTTGATTCTCCATATATGCAGTAAGTAGTTAGGTTCCATAGAACCAATGAGAAGACTGAATTAACAAATACTGATCTCCTGTTTCCAGGGGAAATAACAGTCATGATCCTTCGAGCCTCTGATCACCGCATTTTGTCAGCAGATCAATACATAAACTTGCTTTATGTGTGTTTCTTTTTTTTTTTTTTTTCTTTATTGATTTTTAGAGAGGAAGGAAGAGAGAAATAGAAACATCGATTGGCCGCCTCCTGCACCACGCTGCCCCCCCCTCCCGGGATCGGGCCCACAATCTGGGCATGTGCTCTGATCGGGAATCAAACTGGCAACCTCTTGGTGCATGGGTTGATGCTCAACCACTGAGCCACACCAGCTGGGCTATGTGTGTGTCTTTTTAAAGACACCTTATTTAATGTATATTGTTGATTCATTAACATTGACTCACAGTCAATAGCACTGTAACTCCCTGAATTAAGCTTATCTATTGTGTAATTTCTCCCTAAGACACATTACAGCCTTCTTATGCTTGGGAACACTAGACATCTCGTCACTATTTGGGGGCCATTTTAAACAGAAATCACCAACAAAAGCCACAAGAGAAAAAAAAAAAAACTTGTGCTAAGTAAATCATGAAAAGGATCTATTTACTTCATGCGCTGAAACAAGGCAGAGTATTGCCTTGTTCCACCTCAACTGAGAACATGTGAGTCAAGAGATTCAAGTCGTTCACTGCTGTGTGCATGTCTGAATGGCAGCAAAAAAAATGCCACAGGTATTGATTTGGGGGTTACAAGTAAATTTCAGCAAGTAGATGAATTTGCAAATATGAAATTTGTGAATAATGGAGATCAACTCTATAGAAGAATGCCTCAGGCTTCTCAAAGATATGTGCCTATAAAGCTTTGAGCAATGTCACCATCCTTAGAGTGAGTAAAAGTAGTCACCTTTAGGAGCTTAAACAAAGGGAGGCAAGCACATTTGTTTAATTAATTAAAATCTTACCTATATTTTTATTGGAAGTTAACTAATTTCAATGGGCCATACTGTTAAAGGTTAATTAGCTTAAATCCCAGTAATTGTGATGGACTTTCACTTAAATACAAAACTAAATAAAGCCTAAGCTTCTTAAAAATCCAATGAGAAAATAACTCTCTTTCACGCACTGATGAGAATTGTAACTTATTCTTAACATTTGTAAATGAGATGCATTTTACTTCTGTTGGTAATTGTTTTAGCAGATACACAAATGAATGGGGGAGAGCCCCTTTGCAACCAGAGGCTATGAGATACAGGTTGGGTGTGAGGTGCTCTGCTCTCTTCAGTGTGCCCCCTTAGGGAGTGGGCCTTACTCGGATAACTGCTTTTTTTACCACACAGGTGCTTTGCTTTTAGAATGATCCACACTGAAACGCGGCAGGAGCAGGAAAATGGGGAGTGTCACCCAGAGGTGACTTCGTATTTTTATTTTGTCTTTGTATTTAGTTTTTTCTTGTGATTTTGCATTCTAAATTGTAACTTCTAAATTACAGGTTTATCTTTTAAATGTATATATTTATCATAGAAAACAGAATAAAATGTGCTTTGAGGATTTTCATATTGTTTTAAGCCATGTTAGACTATAGCCTCATGGTGTTTTTCACTTTTCCTGCAGGCTAAGAACTTAAACAGCTTATCTTATTTTTCTCTCCTAAGATTCTTTTTTGTTTAGAAAGTCTGTTAGCATTGAAATTACCAAACAGTTTCACATTTGGACTCATTTTCAATGCACTATACTTTGGAAAAACTTCAGATGCTGGACAAGCTAAAGCACTTAAAATTTTAAAGTCAGAAACAGTTTACTCAAGCTATGTAATTAGCTTTGAGACAGTAGTTTAAAAAGTAATTCAGTGTCATCTTCCTTCTTCAGGTTTCAGGGACGACTTCTTAGGAGGCAGGGGAGGGAGTCGCCCAGGTGACCGGCGAACAGGCCCTCCAATGGGGAGTCGTTTCAGAGATGGTCCTCCCCTTCGAGGATCCAATATGGATTTCAGAGAACCAACAGAAGGTATGGTGACAACTTGTAAATGGAGGGTACCTCTTCGTGATACTTTGATACCTCTTTATGATACTTTGTACCGCATGGACTTTTGCCTTCTTAAGCCATGCACAGTTGTTACTGTAAACCACCCTTAGTCTTAAATAGTATCCTTTACCTTTATTAGTATATCTAGGGATGTGATAGTTCTTCAGGGCTGTTGATTTGTAGAAATTGGCTGGGCTGTAGAGATCAGCATCCATTTGATTATTTTGCCCAATGGAGTATGGGATCCATTCTTTATAAGCCTTGTTTTTTTTCCCTGCAGAGGAAAGAGCACAGAGACCACGGCTCCAGCTTAAACCTCGAACAGTTGCGACGCCCCTCAATCAAGTAGCTAATCCCAACTCTGCTATCTTTGGGGGAGCCCGGCCCAGAGAGGAAGTTGTTCACAAGGAGCAAGAATGAGCTTGCGGTTGGGAGGGAATGGGGTAGGGGCAGTTAGAGCAAGACTGCGGCCTGGCTAGCCCCCTGGACCGGCAGTCCTGCAGTTACCATTCCTGCGCCTGACCTTTGTCCTCCTTTCTTACAAAGGAAACAACAGAGCTTGTGAGTGCATGTCAGCAGTTAACAAGTGGTTTTTAGTACATTCTTGGCTTTGCTGTATCTAGTGCCTGTTTCGTGCTTTTTATTTTTCCCCCCTGCCACTCCTTCCCCCATTTTCCTTCTGTCCTTTTTCCTTCTTGTTTCTTGTTTCCTTCCAGCACATGAGTTTCTCTAAAGGGACAAAGGCAGCCACCATGTGGGAGCTCTTTGGATTGAGGTGCTGTTTCATTTTTCTCCTTCTCTTTCTCTTCTTACTTTACACACACTGGCCAGACTCCAGTCACTTCCTTTGATTCTTTTTCCCAGTGCTTCTCTTCTGGCCTGCATGTCGAGTTCTGTATTTCTGTGGCTTTCACCAAAAAAGAAAAGGGGGAAAAAAACAGGAAAGAAGTCACAAATTGGATAGCATCTTGTTTTTATTCAGCTTTGATCAACATACAGATTATCAGGCACCTTGTTTTCAAAACAAGGATAAAATGTCTGTTGATGCCTGCAAATTCCTTCCCGTCCCTATTTATAAGTAGTCCTGTCTCTGATGCCCCCTCCCCAAATGGGTTATTTGAGCAGAATAAACTCAGATTTCAAATAGTGAAACCTAAAGGGTAATGTGGGATGTTGATAGGGAGTTTACGTGGAAGATTAGTTACATGCACTACTATGTTCACATGTTTTATTACTGCTTTGTCAAACCTGTCCAGACTGGTTCCCTCCTTTTACCAGCTGTATCACAGGCTCCTCTCTCGGGCTGGATGTAGTGAACTGCCTGCTGCTGGTTTTCTTTCTGCTGAGCACAGGTGCTGTGGGGACTAAAGAGTGGGGGTGGAGGGCCCTAGAGCTGAGCTGGGCTAACTTTATAGTGAGGACATTGCTGTTTCCAAATCCCTGTTGTCTGTGCATTTTGCACCCCTCCCTCGCACGTATCTGTTCCCTAGTTTAACATCCTTTAATTTTATCATGAAAATGGGCCTAGACTCTGGCACTTCACTCTGCTTCACTTCATGGACTGAGAATTTTACTATGCAGAGCTAACCAGACCCTTAAAGTAGTTGGTAGGTGGCTGTAAATTACTGGGTCCTATCTTTGGGACAAAGTTTATTGTTCCCACGTACAGTATTCAGCATTTACCCAGGGCTAGGGGGATAGGCAATAGCTTTTGAGCGTGAATGCCCATGTGTGGACAAATTAAATTCTTTAGCACCTGAGTCCCAGTCATTTTATTGGGAGAAATTCAGGGTCAGCCGCAGCTAGAGCCCTAGAGAAAAGAGACCCTCACCAGCACGACCAGAGGGCTGGGGTATCCTGGCCCGTGCAGTGCAGCGTGCTTAGCAGTTCTCACTAGCTGGCATCCGTGGCTTCCACTCTCTTTGTTACAAGGTCTCAGCAACTTACAGGACTCGTCCTTCTCTCCTTCCACCTATCATCTTTGCTTCTGAAATAAGAACCATTTGTGTAACACCAATACTTAACTTAAGACAGACAAGCATTGTATGGCTGTGATCAAACCTGATGCTTCCAGATAACGTGCTTGTATCTTTGATGTGGGCAAAGACTAAGAACAAAACAAATCCATCTAAACTTCTGGGCAATCCAGTTGACTTTTAAATATAAAAATGGAATTCCAAACGCGTAACACATTCTACTATAGGACAGAAAGTAAATCTATGGATATGGTATTCTGTGAGTGATCTTTTAAATAAAAGAAAACCTTACGTAATATTTAATGATTGTCTTTATTTTGAGTTCTTTTTAGCTGCTCACAAAACATTTTTAAATTTGGGAAGCAGTATCCAAATTTAGTAGAGTACTGTAATTTAACTGAGAAAAGCATCTTGCTTTTGAAAGTTACAGGATTAGTGAAATTATCTTAAAAAGAGCTAGTGATGATTAGAAATAGGATGCCAACCTCCCCTCCCCCCCCCCCCCCCCCCCCCCCGTTTCCTAAAAATTTAATTTTTCTAACACCAAACTTTATATAATGGTGTAGCTGTAGTCTTTGGTTGGGCAAAGGGACATTTTCCCCCAATATGGAAGAAATCAAACGCTTACACAATGTGCACCTGCTCTTTTTAACTTTGAGAGGGAATTCTAGGTGCTCTACATGACAGTGATGGGCGCTGCTCTGTGGCAAGCAGGGAGTGTTCTGGGGAAGTGCTGCTGTTTGGGAGAGGCCTGGCTGGCATGGAGGTTGGTGGCACCATGGACCTGGCACGGTGCAGTTTGCTTGCCTTAAGGCAGTGGTTCTCAACCTTCCTAATGCCACGACTCTAATACAGTTCCTCATGTTGTGGTGACTCCCAACCATAAAATTATTTTCATTGCTACTTCATAACTGATTTTGCTACTGTTACGAATCGCCATCAGAAATATGTTTTCCGATGGTCTTAGGTGACGCCTGTGAAAGGGTCGTTCGACCCCCAAAGGGGTCACGAGCCACAGGCTGAGAACCGCTGCCTTAAAGTGAGCCTTGATTGCAGCTTGATCTGGAGAAGTTAAGTGGACAGTGGGTGCTGTTCTGGCAAGTGCGCGAGTGACTACTTCAGCTGCTACCCAGCCAAGAAGAGCATGGTGGAAAGGACTTGAAAGAGTCAACTAGGTTTCCCAGGAATTCAGAGTTCCACCCCAACCAGAGATTGAACCCACAACCCCGATATGTTCCCGGACCGGGAATCGAACTGGCAGTGCACAGGATGATGCTCAACCAGTTGATCCACACAGCCTATGGCCAGGGGTTTATAGTTGAAATTCCTGTGCACCTGCCTTCCTGCTTCCCCCTAGATGTTGCAATAACTGCAGAGGTTGCTTCTCACACACACCTATTCCCTTGATTTGTAATATTTCAGTAACATTAAATATTACAGAAAGCATTTTATTCTTCCCATTAATAAGAAACTGAATTATGAGAGAAGGGTACATCTTTCCCCAAAGAAGCACCTAAATATAAATAAGGTCATTTTTATAAACGTTTGCACCTACTGCTGTGTGACTATTCCAGGGACAGGTTTAAGACAGTTGATCCCTGATTTCTCTGCTATTGAGTTGGCTTCAGAGAAATAAAATTTATTGAAGTTACAAATGAGGCTTATTTATTTGTTTTAATTAATTTATTTTTGTTAATCCTTACCTGAGGATATTTTTCCATTGATTTTTAGACAGAATGGGAGGGAAGGGGTCAAAGAGAGACATCGAGGTGAAAGAGACACATCAATTGGTTGCCTCCCACACAACCCCAACTGGGCCAGGGATTGAACCTGCAACCCAGGTACTTGCCCCTGACGGAGAATCAAACCTGAGGCCGTTCAGTCTGTGGGCTGACGCTCTAACCAGCTCTAACCGCGGGGCCAAACTGGCCAGGGCGAGGCTCCTTTATTTTTAATAAGGGGCTCGGGTTTCTAGGAATGTTCTTTCCTCAGAATCCACCTTGTCAGAGGCCAGCTTGTTTCTCCAGGTCCTAGGAAAGGAATTGTCTCCACAGTAGACTTCTAGAAGCTTGGGTTTTTCATCATGACTCAAATATTTGTCATGTCGTCGGAATTCTGAGAGAGTAGGAGGCAGAAAGAGGGAAGAAGGCAGGTGGACATTTGGGGAAAGGAGGGAGGTGGAATTGTTACCTAGTGTTCACTTTCAATTCGTGACTTAAGCAATAGCCTGATTTTCTCAATGAAGATTACTTGATAGCGATTAGGCCTAGAACCAGAAAAGCTAATTAACTTAAACTCAGAAAGCCACTGTGGCTTGAGACTCACTAGAAACAGCATTTCTTTGCCATGTGATGAAACTGCTCTGTGGTCTCCAGAGATTCCGTGCCTGTTGGTTTTTAAACAGCCTTATAATCTGCTCTTCTCACAAGTTGTACTTTAAATACACTTTTGTTCTTTCCCCTCAGTCCTCTTCTCAAATTTCAAATGACTGTTGAGGTCATGCAGGGTCACTGCCACTGTGACAAGGTTCACCCTGGAATGTCAACTGCAGTAGGACCTGGCAGGGCCCAGTGTCGTCCATGGTGCTGGGTCTGGTGGAGAGGGGTCTGCGGCCCATCTTGTGTTCATCCGCCTCTTGCTATCTTCCCAATGGAGCCCCTCACCAGTGCTCTTTCAGGGAAGTCGGGAGGGGAGACGGATGGAGTGTCATATCTCAGACTTTCTAAAAGATCTTTAGTTACAGGACGGCAGTCCATGGTGTGCATCGCAGGTGGCTGTCGCCCGGCTCCCTCATGTCCCTCTGGAGGGAGACTCACAGAGGGCAGGCTGCTTGCTCACCTGGGCTCCTCACGCTTGAAAGAGTGGCTGGCCTGGGCCTGGCACGTTGTCGTGGCCTTTTGTGGTGAGCTTTGCTCTGTTTCTCATGTTTTCTTGGTCAATGTTTTATAACGTCAAAATGTTTGAGTTACTTTATCATTTGTGTGAGGTTAACAGGCTTATAGACATATCTGGTATCTTAAAGTCTTCCTTTTGTAATTTTCTGTCTTGAAAACAATGAAGACTGTGTATTTAAGTGTAACCTACTAATTTCCTCACATGTAACCACCCTCTAACTGTAAAATATTAAATATACAAATAAAAAGCAAACTTTCACAGCAGCAGGCTCTTTGATATTCATTTTGGACACTGGAGAGGATTTGTTTCCTGTACCTATTCTGTTCACTGTGGAAGACAACATAACTGTTAATAAAATTGTCTCTGCCTTGGCCAGTTTGGCTCAGCAGTTGTAGCGTTCACCTGCAGACCAAAGCATCTCAGGTTTGACTCCCAGTCAAGGGCACGTACCTGGGTTGCAGGTTCGATCCCCAGCCCTTACTGGGATCATGCAGGTGGCAACCAACCGATGTGTCTCTCACATCAGTGTTTCTCTCATCCCCTTCCTCCCTTACACTCTCTAAAAAAAAAATCAGTGGAAAAATATCCTTGGGTGAGGATTAACAAAAAAATTAAAATTAAATCATTACTGGCCTAGAAGCTTATCTTTCTAAACAAGGTTGGGGTGGTGGGGGATGGGTCAGAGAAGCATTTTAGGTAGCCCAGAGTTTTTGTAAATAGCACCAAGATTCTTTGAATAGCACCAAGATTCTTTGGCATTGGTAGGATTTTTTTTTTTTTTTTACATGCATTATACTCTTGAAATTAAGAATATACTCATTAGATTTTTTTCTAAATGTCAAAACAAAAAAGGAAAGGACACGTGACAAACTTAATAAAAAAAGGATATATGAAGAATTTCTGCAATTTGGTAAAAGCCCAATAGGGAACTAAGCAAAATATGTTAACATGTATTTCACAGAAGAGGAAAGATGGCCCCAAAATTATATTCCACCTCACTAGTAATCAAGGAATTGTAAATCGAGACTAAAGGAATAAAATACCATTTTACACTCATTCAAATGGCAAGTCAGGAAGCCTGACTTGACAAACCAGTTGCTGGAGAGTTGGTGGGTCTTTTTGAGTCTTAGCAATGAGAGTGTAAATGAGTGCAGCTGCTTTGGGAATGAACTTGACATTTGAATGTTCCCATGCTCTATGGCCATTGGTTCCCTGCCCAGTATTTATCCAGGAAAACATTCACAGCAGCAAAACCTCTATTCAGATGATGGGATGTTGTGCAGAAGTCTCCTTAAAGGAATGAACTACAACCACTCACAGCAATGTGGATGGGTCCTGGTTATGGTAATAGGAAGTCCCAAAGGCTTACAGACAACATGACACTTCATATATATATATTTTAAAAAACTAAACAAAACAAAACCGCTTTGGGCCCTGGCTAGTTTGGCTCGGGGGTTGGAGCATCGGCCCTCGGACCAAAGAGTCACAGGTTCAATTCCAGTCAAGGGCACGTACCACAGTTGTGGTTTGGTTCCCAATCCTGGTCAGGGTCATACAGTAGGCAACTAATTGATGTGCCTCTCTCACATCGATGTCCCCCCCCCCCCAACCCTGTCTGAAGATAGATGGAAAAATATCCTCAGATGAGGATTTTTTTAAAAATGAACTTTGGAAATAACATGACAGCCAATTTTTATAAAACCAGTTACTTAGGGTGGGGCAGAAGAATGAAATATTCTAGGTTCCATTGGGTAGTGAGTTAATTATCAGAGAGAAATGTCATAAATAGCCTGGGATGAGGGGTGAGAGTAATGCTTATTTATAAGCACCTTGAGAGTTGGGCGTGGCAGTCAGACAACTTCACAGTGGGCTCCAGGAGCTTCTAGGATGTTGTATGTACTTCTCAGTGCATCTTTTTCTGAAGGCCATAGCTTCCCACTAGCCTTTAAGGTATATGTGACCCCAGGAGATGCTCATCCTTGGAACTGTTGAGCGTTCTGACTCGCCGTTGCATTACTAGCCAGGCATTTTGCTTCTGTAACAGGTGTGCACACAACTTAATCAGCTGCGAAACTCAAAAGCTACATAGTCCTGTTTGGAGTCATGAAAAAGTTTTGGAAATAGTTATGATTGTACAACATTGTGAGTATAATTAGTGCCACGGTTGAATTGCTTGGTTAAAACAGTATAGTTTGTTATATAGAATGCAATATACTAAAACCAATTGAATTGTTAAAAAAAAAAAAAAAAAGAAAAGAAATGCACCAGAGTTTATACAATTGGACATGAACTGTCTAGGTTTGCTCAATACTTTTATTGACTTTTACAGAGGAAGAGAGAGAGAAAAACATCACTGTGAAAGTGAAGCATCAGTCAGCTGCCTCCTGCACACCCCCTACCGGGATTGAGCTCCCCTGGCTTGTGCCCTGACCAGGAATCAGAATTGGACGGCAGCCTTTCTGGGCCTGACCCACAGCCACACCATCCAGGGCCTGTCTAGTTTTTTTTTTAAGCTTGTTTTCTAACTCACAAGTGAATGGTTTACAAATAAGGGTCACTCAGGTTCAAAAAGGGTCTTTGGGTTGACAGGCCCGTTTTTGTAGATGGAAAATGGGCTCCATGAGGGTCTGTGGTCAGACCTGGAGACTTTGCCAGTGGTCAGAGGTTACTTCTCCAGCACCGGGCATTGCTAAGGCCCGAGAGACAGCTGGAATGGAGGACGGAACTCCTTTTCCATTAGACGTGCTGGAGCCTCTGGCCATCCCTGCAGGGCACGTGGTCCAGGGATAGGTGGAAGCAGGCTGGTCCCAGTGCGAGGAGGGACCAGGCAGGCAGCCCAGCGAGGAAGGCTGCTGCCTTTGAGCCACTGAGGTCCCTGCACTCGGGTGGTGGAAAGAACGGGCTTTGGACGCTCTGGAGGTCTGGGTTCGAATCTAGTCAGCCTCTAGGAGCTAACGTGTCCTCGCCTGCGTAAGAAACGCACATTCGGCCAGCAAGAGTCCATGGCGAGTAGATGTAGCCTCGCCCACGTGAAATAAGGGGTTGGCAGTGGCGTGTGCACCGGCACAGGTTTGGGAGTCAGATGAGGTTTTAGTCCTAGTCCCACCACGTGCGGGGATGGGGACAAGCTCCTGGCAGTGAGGGCCACAGCATCTCCCCAAACACCCTTCTCCCCACCGGGTGGCAGCAGTGGGCCCAGCCCTCGGTTTCTGTTTCGGTTATAGCCGAGCCTCCCGTCTGTACTGGCCCCTCACTAGCCCTGGCTGGGCCTGGACTGCAGGAAGTCTTGGCCACCCCCACCAGGGTCACAGGAGACACTCAGCCTCAGGCCTAGAGCTGGGAGACCAGGCTCTGAAGTGCCAGACTGATAGGGTGTTAGGGGACCCTCGGGGGCTTCCTCGTATCTCTGGCAGTTTACTGGTTCCATAGCCTTTTCCCGTGGTTACCAGTCTCCCAGTGAGCTGGTGCCTTCCACACCTTACATCACACTTTCACAGCGACCGGCCAGGACCAGGCGGACTGGGGCCGTGGGCACGCCGCCGTGCTCCCACCCTGCTCTGCGCCTCCATGAGCCTCACCTGGAAAATGGGGGTGATGAGATGTGGCTCCCAGGACTGGAGAAGCTGTGATTGTCCTTCTGTCCTTCAGCTGGGCGGCCTGTCTTGCTCCCTCTAATGCCTGTGGCTGTCCATTCCTCTGTCAGCTGTCTTTGTCTCCAGTTGTTTGTTCTGTCTACCCATGTCCCATGTTCTGTGAGTGTGTGTGTGTGTGTGTGTGTGTGTGTGTGTGTGTACTGTATGCCTCATTCTTGAGACTCTGCCCTCTGAGTATCTGACTCTGGCTCTCTGTGTCCCTGACAGTCTGTGGGCCTCTCTTTCTCTGTCTCCCCGAGTCTCCCTCTCCCTCCGAGTCTGAGTCTGTTGGTTGATCTCAGGCTCAGTCTTTGCCTGTCTCTCTGTTCCTCTCTGTGACTGATGTGTGTGTGCTTCTCATCCTCATTCTCATTCTCCCTGCATGTTTACTGTTTTCTCTCTCTCCGATTCTCTGTCTTGTCTCTGGGTTTCTGTGTGTGCGTGTTTTCCGTGTTAGCTGTATTGCTTCTTTAGTGTGTGCTTCCCCGTGTCATCCCCTCTCCCTGCCCGTGTGTGTCCATGAGCACACTCTGTTTCACTCCTTCTCACTGTCCCTCTGTGTCTCTTACTCTCTGTGTGACGTGTTTACATGTGTGTATTTAGTGTGTCCATGTCTTCTGTTCTCTGTCTCATTCTGTCTCTGTATCTTTCCCTGTCTTTCTATCTCTCTGTCTCTCTCCGTCTCTTCTCTCTCTGTTTCTGTCTCTGTCTTTCTGTCCCTCCCTCCCCCCCCCCCCTACTTCTCTGTGTGCTCACAGCAGAGCCTGTCCGGCAGGGCAGCGGATGTGAGGTGACTCGGTGACTGACAGGAAGCCTGCCTCCTTGCTTGCTGCCCTCAAGTGTCTGTGGACTTGGTGTCAGCTCCAGCATGTGTGGGGGCTCAGGATGAGGTGGCCGCAGTGAAGAGCCCCTGAATCTCAGGTAAGCCTTCCCCAGGAGGGCCTGGAGCCTGGCCCTGAGGGCAGGGGTCCTGAGGCTGCCCCCAGCCCGGGCAGCCCATGGGGTTGGGTGGCCTCGCTGGCTCAGCTCGAGTACGCGGCAGCCCACCGGGCCAGGGGGGAAGATGTCAGGACGCCCGGCACCCCCTCCTTTGGCCCCAGTCCTGTCCCGGCGCCCCTGACTGGGGAGCCCTCACCCTGGACCCTGCGGCACTCAGAGACAACCTGTTTCTGGGGCTTCAGCCACTTTCCTGCCCTCACCTCCCTCAGTGGAGCCTGCAGACCCGGGAGGCCTCCAGGGTGGTGCCATCACTCCAGAGGCTGGCGAGGGGCCGGGTCGTGGCTCCCCAGATCCATGCCCATGAGCCTAGGTTTCTTCATGGGTAAAATGGAACTGGAACACCCCAACACGGGGCTCTGGGAGAAGGGGTGAGACTGCAGGCAAGCGCCTAGGTCCTGTCCCAGGCCAGGTGGGAGCATCTGTCCCTGCCGCCGCCGCCACCCAGCCCAGCCGCCAGCTCTCTGCCAGGGTTCTGAGAGGCTGCAGGCCCTGGGGGCTCCCTGTACGCGCCTCTCTCAACAGGGGGCCCTGGCCTTCACCATCCCCCACTCTGCCCTGGGACAAGGGCTGCCCAGGCCCTGCACCAGTCACCTGAGCACTGAGAACCTCCATTTAGAGCCTCTCGCCGGCCTCTTCTGAAGGCCAAGGCTGTTTGGGAAAACAAGACAGATCCCAGAGCACACCCCAGTGGCTAAAGCCTTGCTAGGGTTCAGACCAGGAGCTCTCACTCCACCTCCACCCCCAGCCTGCCCTGCAGCCCTGGTGGGCCTCAGTTTCCCCATCCACAGCATGGGAGAGTGGACAGGATCACCTCCAAGGGTCATTCTGGGCAGGAGGCTGTGACACAGACCAGGGAAGCCAAGCACCGAGGGCTTTTCCCACAGCCTGATTGTTGCAAACCTTGTTCATATGAAAACTGCCCACTTCCCCTTGTGCTATTTTGGCCTGCTGAGCCCCGGGCGGTTCGGCCTCCCTCCCTCCCCACTCAGCCCGGCTTGGCATTTTGGGGCCTCTGGGAGCTGTTGCGTCTACCTCTCCTGAGGCCCAGCCTCCTCTCCCTCCCCTCCCCCACCCCCTGCTCTCAGAACATGGCTGGAAGCAGAGAGACAGTGGATATATTCAGTGTTGTGGGGTGAGGCACAGGAGTTTTCCTCAAATCAGTCTCTTTTAAAAAATATTTTATGATTCTTAAAAATATAATATAAGAAAAAGGTAAAGGAGTGTGGCCCTCAGAGGCAGCTGCCTTGGGTTTTGGTCCTGGCTCCGTGACTGGAGAGCTGTGTGGCCTTGGACAGAGCACTGGCCTCTCTGGGCCTGGGTCTCCCACAGGGTGCCTCCGGCATCTCTGACAATTCATGCCGGGCCGGGCGGGCCGGGCTGGGGCGGGAGCCATGCTTTCTCCCACCCCAGCCCCTCTCAGCGCCCAGCAGAGCACCCACGGGGAGCTCTGGGGGGGCTCAGGCCAGCCTCTCCGGGCACTGGGCAGGGGAGGCTCCTGACCAAGCTGCTCCACACCGTTTGCTGGGCCCAAAGCCAGCTCTGGCCCCCACAGGCTGCGGCTACCTCTGCCCCTTCCCGGGACCATGATGATGGCTGGTCATGGTGGTCACAGCCAGCCACGCCCGCCTGCACTCCCAGGCCTCATGTGACAAACCCACGGAAGAGTGTCATTATTTCCCCCCATTTAATAAAGGGGCAACCAAACGCCTGTGACTGGGATTCAGTTTTTGTTCCTGGGCAGAATTTGCATTCTCATGCTCCCCTGCCTGCCCTCCCCCAGTGCCACGTGGGTGGAGATGGACCAGGGCAGGGGCCACCCCTGAGTGTGCTTCACCTCAGGAAGCAAGAGGGCTCTCCGATAGTCGGGGTCCTCTGGGGTGGAGGGCCACCCTTCCCCAGACATCGGCAGGGTGTGTCCCAGGGCTTCAAGTGACAGGCCAAGAGTGCGGACTTGTTTCTGGGCCTTAAGCAGCCCCTGGGGATGGCCGGTGATGGAGTCATGTCCCAGGGGCATGTGTGTGACCCATTCTGAATGTCCTTGCCCAAATCTCCTTTGGGGATAGAAAGAGTCACTGTCCTAACTAAATGACAAAGTTGTCGAGGGCCAGGAGCCTCGACAGGAGCCTCGAAGGAGCTTTCCAAACTAACCAGCTGCAAGTAAGACCTCAGTAGTTTTCTCTAAAGGAAATCCAGCCCTGAGCCTGACTGGATGTGATTGATCCCCATTTTACAGATCAGAAAACTGAGGTCAAGAGATGCTGGGGCACAGGCAGGCTTTGACCCCAGGAATCCTCCCTCTAAGGCAGGTGTTCCCAACTTCAAACATCCTGAGGTGGACTGGGACCGTGCCTGGGGTCTTGGAAGGGGGTCTGCCCCAGGGTGGCCACAGGAGGCAGAGCGAGCTGTGCAGACCAGGAGGGCAGTGCCCAGCCTCTGAGAGGAGGGGGAGCGGATGCCCCTCAAACAGCATCCTGCGTGGCAGGGATCCATCTCTCTCTTCACGTGGGGGCTGCTCCGTCACGAGATTTGGGAACTCTCGTGTTCCCACTGACTCACTTGGAGTTTTGGGGAAGGAGAGGTGGCTTCTCTGGGATGGGTCCCCAATCAAGGCTCTGCACTGCATGGAGTTTCATGTCATCTTTGCCACAGAGATTCGGGAAGCTTAGCCCTGGCCGGTTTGGCTCAGTGGTTAGAGTGTTGGCGCACAGACCAGAGAGTCCCGGGTTCGGTTCCCGCTAAGGGCATGAACCTTGGTTGCAGTTTGTTCCTGGCCCCGGCTGGGGTTGTGTGAGGTTGTGTGGGTGGCAACCACTCCATGTGTCTTTCTCACATCGATGTTTCTCTCTCTTTCTTCCTCTCTCTCTCCCTCCCGCTCTATCTGAAGATAAATGCAAAAATGTCCTCGGGTGAGGATAAGAAAAAAGAGAGAGGTGAGGGCGCAGCCGGGGCGCAGACCTCAGGGCAGTCCGGAGCAGGAGGCGGGCAGTGCAGTTAATCTCCCCAAGCCTCACCCTCCCCAGCTGTGAAGTGGGGAGAAACCCTTCTCCCAGGTGTGCAGAGTGGACCCTCAGTAACGGGGGCTCCGTGTGCCTGCCTGGGGCACAGCCCCCTCTGAGACTCCCTGCTTGCCCGCAGCTGTGTCCCAGCTATTTTGAGGGGGCTGAGTCTCTGTGTAGTTTCGATGCTTCTCCTTGGAAGTCCCCTCGAGAGGGCTAGATTTGCCTTTGCCAGACCCTGGTGAGTGGTTCTGATCGACAAGGCCTGACAATCACAGTGTAGCCCCAGGGCTGGCCTGGACCAGCCGGCAAGACAGCAGTCAGCACTCAGGGATCCAGGGCTCCTTGCCCTGCAGACTCTCCTCCAGTCCCACGTCCCACCAGCCACCATGGGCAGCATGCCAGGCCCCTCTGCCCCGAGTGCGCTTTTCCCATGCTCTTAAACCCACCACCTCCGAGAAGCCTTCTCTGATTTCCCTCTTCCCAGTGCCCAGGACAGGAGGAATCTGGGTGCACAGGTGTTTAATGAATGGAAACCCCACCCCCATCTTCCCCAGGAGGCTGGGGACAGGGTGGAGAAGTACACTAGGTTGGGTGAGGGCTGCTGTGCGCTCCCACGCCGAAGGGACCACAGACTCTGAGCTTGGGGACCAGAGCCGGGTTTACAGGAGGGAGGGGGTGCAGTGGGCAAAGTCGGAGTTTGGGTCTGGATGCTGAAACTTGAATCCTGTCTTTCCCCTTAGTAATTGTGAGATCTCTGGCCTCAGTTTCTTTATCTGTGAAATGGGACAAGCCTCCCCTCAAAGGGCGACTGTGTGGATGAAGTGAGGGTGTGTTAGGAGTGCACAAATGCATGATGCTGTCCGGTGGGTCCCCAGAACCTTCCAGCATTTATCAAGTGTTGATGCTGGCCCTGGGGACCGAGAGCACAGGCCGGTCAGATGGAGGCACAGACGAGAGGCCAGACCGGGTCCTGACGGGCCCTCCAGCAGGTTTGGGAGGGCGCTCACAGCCTGGACTCCGCGGTGGGGCGACCGGACAGTGGAAAGAAGAAACCCGAGAGTTGGGGCTGGGCGGGCTCCTGGAGGGACAGCCTTCCGGACCTCCCGCCCTGGCTCACGCCCGCGCTGTGGCATTTCAGGAACAGTGGCCAGGAGCCGACATGAGTGCGGAGACGGAGCTGCTGTGGCCCGGGGTGGCCCTTGTGCTGCTGCTGGGGGCAGTGGCCAGCCTGTGTGTACGCTGCTCCCGCCCAGGTAAAGGTGGGGTTGTCATGGGCGCAATGGAGAAGGCAGTGTACCCAGAAACCCTCGCAGACCCAAACCTGGCTGCAGTTGGAAGGGACACTCAGATAAGCCTCACGGGAGTGACTCCTCCAAGGGGTGCCCCCAACTGCCCCCAACACAATCTGTCTGCTCACTGTGGGGCTTTGGTTTTGCTGGGTCAAGGGGTGTGTCTGGGGCAGAGGGCTGCTCTGGACAAGGGGGGAGGCTGGGCTCCTGGGGCGTCCACCCTCTCTCCGCCCCACTCTCCTAGGTAAACAGGGAGAAACACCATGTCATTGTCAGCTGGCCCACAGTGACTGGCAGGGCACCGGGCAGCCCAGCCGGGATGAAGGGAGCCTCGGGTCTCAGTTCCCACCCTGGCCCGGGACACTTGCTAATCTGGTCCCGTTCTTGCAGGTGCGAGGCGGTCCGAGAAAATTTACGAGCAGAGGAACCTGTGAGTGCCTCAGGGCCCGGCCCAGTGACAGTGTGCCTTGGGTGTGGGCCCTGCCTCGGGCATCCCTGCTTGCTGTTCCTCACCCCCTTGCTCACACTTCCTCCATGCTGGGCCCTGGGTCCCCAGCAGTCACTCGGGGGCTGTCCGGGCCCTGCTCTAGCCTGGTCAACAAGGGCATCAGGAGGAGGGGCTGCCACTCTCCAGCCTGACCAAGGGCATCTCTAGGGATCCCCCTGTGAACCCGGCCCAGGCAGCCTGCTGTGCCGGGGGAGGGGTGGGTGGTGACAAAGGAATCCAGCCCTCTCGGGGCGATGGGCACTGGGGCGTGGGGCAGAGATGGGCACAGAGCAAAACGAGCTGTGTCTGAGTCTGCCCTGGAAAATGCTAAAGAAGCTCGGAAGGATGTGGGCATGTCCCTTGGGGGATTAAAGACGGCCTGACAGAGGAGGTGGGAGAGATTTTAAGAGAAAAAGAGGCGAAAGGGGACATTCCAAAGAGAGAGAACAGTGTGGACATCGCTAACAGAGGACCAGGGTGGACACTGTTTTCCGGGGAGGAAGTGGCAGGTAGCGTGTGTCTCGGGAGAGATGGGCTGGGTGACAGCCGCGACTATGGGGAGAGGTCTTTCCCTTTCTTCTAAGGGCCGAGGGGCCTCAGAAGAGCTGGAGGCAGGCGCTCATGTCCCCGGGAAGGAGGCGGGACAGAGGTTAAATGGGGTCAGTGAACCCAGCAGAGCCGGGGGACCCGGGAGATGAAGCTCCAGGCACGTTTAGGGCAGGTGGGCCTCTCTGGAGTCCTGAGAAGGTCTGCTGTGTGGGACACTGCAGACCAGGGTGACCCGACAACAACCTCAGGCGGGGGGCCGGCAGCCATTGGCGTCCTTACATTGAGTAAGAGAGAGACTGACGAGGGGCCTGGGGGACTTCTGAGGCTGCGTGTGCACATGTGCACAGGCCTGAGCGCCCACTCCACCCACACGCTCCCTGCACACTTGCTCATGCGTGCACTCCTCACACATGCAGCTCTGTACGCGCAACCGGGTGGCTACTCACGTACAAACGCGCACACACACACCCTTTCTCATTTCCTTTTGCAACTGAAAAACCACAATGAGATTTGAAAATAGAATGTCCCCATCCAGGCCCACCCCTGGGGCCGGGACTAGATCTCTCCAGGCATCTTCGGCTATTTGGCTGCCCAGATTGCCAGCCCACAACCTCCACCAAGGGTGGACTGGGCTCCTGCCCCCTACTCCTGCCCTGAGGCCGCCCTCCTCAGTACCTCCCCTCTGCCCTCCTCCCTCGCCCCTGCCCACTCAAGGCCCCTGACTGAGCTTAGAACTGCAGACTAACCCTCCTCACATAGGGGGAGGGAAATGAGGCCAGGGTGGAGGGGAGGCTTGGGTTCTCCCCGCCTCACTTGGGTTCAGTTCTATCAGCCTGTGTGAAAACAGCTGTGGGCAGGCCCGGCCCCTGCATCACCCCCTCCGGGAAGCCATGCCTGACTCTCTCCTGTAGACTTAGAACACCCTTCCTCAGTCAGGTCACCTAGACTCCCAGCACCCAGGAGCTTCTGGAAGGCTGGGCCAGGTACCCATATTAGTCCGGGGGAGGAGCCCAAAATGCTTTCATGATTCGCTCATCTGCTTCACCCTCTTTAGTGTGGCTTCCATCCAAAAGGGCACTTCATGGTCCAAAAGGGCAGGCAGGGCTCCAGCCCTCATCTCTGCGTTTCAGGCAGTAGTAAGAATGAAGGACAAGGACCAAAAGGCTGTCCCCCATTTGTCAGTGACTCCTTGAAGGAGCTTTTCTGGACCTCCCAACAACCTTGGCTTGCGTTTCATTGACCAGAGCTTAATCACATGACCACACTTAGGTGCAAGGGAGGCTGGGAAATACAGTCTTTTAGATGGGCATGTTGTTGGCCAAACAGAAGTCAGAGTTGTATTTCAAAAGGAGACGGGGACACGGGGCCGGGGTGGATACCTGGCTGTGTCAGCTAGCCTGCAGTAGCCCCACCAGTTATTTGGGAGTGGGGGTGAGTGACTGGGACACAGGAGTGGGGCAGGGGTGCTTGAGGGGTATGCTCTCTTGGGGTGGTAGAAGGGTGGGGCAGCCCCCTTGATGCTCTTGGTGGAAGTCACTGTGGGGTCCCTGAACAGTCACCCCAACCATCACACCCCAGACTCTCAGGGTTGCCTCCCCAGCCCTGCCCACAGACCCTCCTGACCATCTCTGGGGTTCCCAGGTAGGCCATGCTGAGGGACAGGTCTCTCTGGCAGCTGGCCCCAGGCCAGGGCCATGTGAAAAGGCTGGGCACCCGGTGCAGGGCTGGGGAGCAGCCCAGAGAATGAGGGCCTCAGGGGGCAGAGACTCAAAGGGGTGGCAGCTCCTTCTCCTCGCTCTGGCCCTGTCACGTCCCTCCTCTCTGTTCCGTGTCCCCTCTGTCCCTCTCTGCTGTCTCTCCGTCTCTTGGGCTATGGGAGGCCAGGCCCTAGCTCAGGATGGTCCTGTGTGTTTCCAGGCAAGAGAACCAGCAGAACTTCGCAGTGGCCCGGACCTATTCCTGTGAGTCCCCACGGCGGGGTCCAGGGCTGGGCTCGGGTTGCGGATTCATATCCAAGTCCCTTCTGTCTGCATTGCCTTGAGGTGGTGGCCACACCTGATCTGCTAGGGTGAGGGGGTCAGGGGGCTGGCAAGGGGTCCAGCCAACACCCCCTTGCTCTTTGCAGTGGCCAGGCCAGGGCTCCTGATGGACATGGCCTCTGACACGGCACCAGCAAGGTAGGAATGAGCCCCTTGTCCTGGGTCTGGGGGGGTCCCAGCTCCCACAGGAGGCAAGTAGCAGGACTCTGGGGTCCCCACCTGCTGAGCCCAGGCCAAGCCCTCACTCCTCCCTCAGACCTCAGAGTTCCAGTGTGGACTCTAGAGCCCCAGCAGGAGGCTGGAGGGTGGTGGCCTTCAAATCCTTCGAAACCCTAGGGCCACCCCTCACCCTGAGCCCAACCCCAGCACCTGCCTCCCCCCCCCCCTTGCAGGAAGGAGAAGCAGCTGCGGTTCTCCCCCAGCCTCGAGGGTGAGTGACTGGGACACAGGAGTGGGCCAGGGGCGCTGTGGGGCCCAGACATGTGACTACCTGGTGAGACAGGTACTGTGCAGGCTGCAGGGGAGGGCTGGGTGGGGTGCAGAGGAGCCAGGCCTGACGGGGAGACCTTTGCAGAAGAGCCATACAACCAGGCTGGGAGGCCTGAGGGCTGGCCTAGTGGGAGCGGGAACAGAGAGCAGGACAAAGCTGTGCAGGTAAGAAACCTTTGGCCTTTCTTCCAGATTCTGCATCCCCAAGGTACCAGAACTTCAGCAAAGGTAGGTGGGCTCCGGGGAGGCGGGGCTGCGGTGGGGGCCCCCTCCGCGAGCTTAGGTCTTATTCTGCCTCCTCCTGCAGGAAGCAGACACGGATCAGACACAGTCTACATGTGAGTGGCTTTGCCCAGCCCTGGCGCCCCCTCCCACACCCTCCCCCTGCCCTGCACGTCTTTATTTCCGATGGCCTCATGCCCTAGGACCCAGCAGCCCAGGCCCAGGCCGGCTCTCAGCAGCACTGTTTCCCTTCAGGTGGCTTTGTGGGAAGGGGGACGGTGACTTGGACATGGCCCTGCTCTGGGGAGGGCCCGTGTCAGGAAACCCATCTTGCCTCACCCAGGCAGAGACAACTTACAGGGGCACCTGGAAGCCCAGGGAGGGCCCTCAGATGCCTCACCTCACAGATGGGCAAACAGCCCAGGGTGGGTGAAGACTTGCCTAGGGTCACATGGCAAGGTGGCTAGTGCCAGGTGCCCCCCCCCATCCCAGGGTGACTCGGGGGTCAAGGGAAGTGGGATGGAGGGATCAGGAGAGACCCTGGCCCAGCCCCGGGCCACTGGGGAGTGATGGCTGCAGCAGCCCTTGCTCACTGCCCCGGTGAAGCCCCGACCCCAGCCACAGGCCTCCCAGCAGCTGGTGTCGTGCTTGTGTTTTCTTGCCAGAGACCCCATCACCATGGACTGTTACAGCTGGGGGCAATCCCAGAAGCCCTGGGAAGGTGAGGCAGGGGGCGGAGGGGGCAGGGAGGAGGCGCCTGGGAGCTCGGCTTCACCGCTGGGACCGGAGGCAGTTAGGACTCAGAGGAGGGGACTGGGCCTCGGTTTGGATGGACTGGGGAGTGGGGGGAGATGAGGGAGCTGGCCCCGTGGACAGCAGCCCAGGTGCGGAGGTGGGAAGGGATGTGTGGGAGTCAGAGGTGGGCTACAGGTGAGGGGGCAAGAGAAGGATCCCTGGACAGGAGGAAAGCGGGCCCCTTGTCACCCAGGCCCCATCTAGGGCTGGGTGCATATGGGACCTCAAAGGAAGGCCCTGGATGCGGCAGACTTGACGTTGGATGCTGAGCCCCGCAGGCTCTGAGGGAGCGGGAATTCTAGGCCCATAACCCCTCTGCTGTACGGAAGGAGAAACTGAGGGCTGAGGGTGGACAGTGCCTGCCGAGAGATGCACAGGCCTGGGCTCCTGCCTGGGCCGTGCTGGGGCGGGGGTGAGGCTCCATGGTGGGCAGGCAGCGGGGTCCTCTTCCTTCCCCCTGCCACCTCCAAATTGGGGTGGGGCCCTTATTTCTCAGAGCCTTTTTTTGTTTTTTATCCTCACCGGAGGACATTTTTGCATTTTATCTTCAGATAGAGTGGGAAGAAGAGAGGGAGGAAGAGAGAGAGAGAGAGAGAGAAACATTGATGTGAAAGAGACACATCGACTGGTTGCCACCCACACGACCCCAACTGGGGCCAGGGACAAACTGCAACCCAGGTACGTGCCCTTAGCGGGAACCCAACCTGGGACTCTGGTCCGCGGGCCGACGCTCTAACCACGGAGCAACCGGCCAGGGCTCTCAGAGCCTTTTTGATTCCGATGGACGCTGGGTGGGTGGTGGTGAGTGTTCAGCTTCCCAGTTAGAGTAGGGAGCAATGCTGGGGTGCCAGGCTCTGATCTGCCACACCTAGCCGAAGCCCCTGCCCAAGGGGGTTTCCTTCCAGATAAGCTGGTTCCTGGCCCTGCTGGGCCCCCAGAGTCTCTCATTACTTGATAGAGGTGGGCCGCCCTCCAGCCAAATATCATGCTGGGTCTGAATGCAGCTGTCCCCCAACCTCCCCTCCCCGGTACATTCAGAGGTCACCATGAAGGACAGAGAAGGAGCCAAGAGGTGGCAGCTGCCGAGCCAGGCCAGTGCCCGTTAAGGAGTTTGTCTAGGCCCTGGCCGGTTTGGCTCAGCGGTTAGAGTGTCGGCCTGCGGTCCAGAGAGACCCGGGTTCGGTTCCCGCTAAGGGCACGTACCTCGGTTGCAGTTTGTCCCCGGCCCTGGTTGGTCGTGCGGGTGGCAGCTACTCGATGTGTCCCTTTCACGTCGATGTTTCTCTCTCTTTCTCCCTTCCACTCTATCTGAACAAAAAAATGGAAAAATGTCGTCAGATGAGGATAAAAAAAAAAAGAAGTTTGTCCAGGAAAATGTTCGAGGCCCTGGGGGACCCAGAGGCCTGGGGGCTTAGCAGGACAGGTCATCTGCCAAAGGAAGGCTGGGTGGAGGAAGGAGGAAGAGCCAGGCTTGATGGACAGAGCCCACCATAACGAAGCCTTCTCCCCTGTCCCCAGATGATGATGATGCTAATTCCTACGAGAACGTGCTCATCTGCAAGCAGAAACAGCCAGACGCAGGCGAGGCCGCCAGCCAGGGCTGGGCAGAGACTGGTGAGCTATGAAGTGCCCACGGCTCAAAGCATGGCCCGCCTTGAAGCCCGCAAGTCCACTGATACCTCCAGTGCCTTTGGGTCAAGCACTGCCTGGTGTCCCGGGAGGAGGCCCCGTTGTCCTGGGCCTCAGTGGGAATGCTCTCTGGGTCCTACCCCGAGGGGCTGCCCGCATGAGGGCACCTCGCTGGCCTGAGGACGAGCCTCGGTGGCTCCCCCTGCAGCCCCTCCCTGGTCTCTCTCCCTGCAGGTGACGAGGAGTCTGAGGATTATCAGAACTCCACTTCCATCCAGCAGTGGCGGGAGTCCAAGAGAACCATGGGTAAGTGGCCGGAGAGCAGGGGCTCCTGGCGGTCAGCTGTGGCAGGCTCAGAGAGGCCTGGCCTGGGAGGGTGGGGAGGGGAAGCAGGAGTTGAGGGGTCTGGCCTGGGGGGACCAGGCTGGGGTGGGCTCCCCGGCAGCCAGGTCAGCTAACTTCACAGCGAAGCCTTCAGCACACCAGTGGCTGTATTGGCCTTGAACCAGGCCAGGGCGCCACTCAGCAGCCACGGCTTCCTGAGGCCGGGCCTCCTGGGCAGGCTGGCCACCCAGCGGCACGGACGGAGTCCCACTCACTCTGCTTCTCGGGCAGGACAAATCTCTGCAAATCCCCAAACGGGACAGACATGCCGTCCAGAACAGCCCTTTTCCTTCAGGCTGTTTTGTGGCATCAGGGGTTTGAGCCCTGGGTGGCATTCTAGCTTGGGGGAACAGGTCCGGCACCATGTGAACCAACTGACAGTTTGCCTGCTGGTCCCCAGAACAAGTCCGGAGAGAAGCACCTCCCTCCCCTGCAGGAGGCCCAGATGAGGATGACGGAGAGCCCGACTACGTGAACGGGGACGTGGCGGCCAGGGAAGCCTAGGGCCGGCCTGGGAGAAGGTACAGTGCAGGGGGGAGGCCTCACTGGCTGGAGGGGCCCATTCCAAGGGAGGAGGAGCCGTGGTGGGGGCCAAGGAGCAGCACCCATGGGTGCTGAAGCAGAGCAGCTCTGCAGGGTGCTGGGCCTCTAAGCAGTCCCTGCCCACCCTGCCCGACTCCCATGGCAGGCTTGGTGAGGCGACAGAGTCCCTGCGAGCACAGGGGTCTCAGGCCGGGAGGGTGTCAGGCAGGGAAGGTTGGTGAGTCATTGGATGAAGGTGGACTCTGGGTGGGTCTCTGCAACATTGGGGGAGAGACTTAACCTCCCAGATCTATTTCCTCACTTGAAAAATGGAGCTAATGGGACCCGTGGCTTAGACAAGATATCACATAAAGCAGGAGCCCAGCAGGACTTGGCCAGAGTTGGACGCAGGGACGAGGGGCAGGACTGGGGGATGATGGTGCTGATGACAGTATCAGTAGCCACTTTGCCAGCCAGCAGGGAGTCAAGTGCGCACACACATCACCTCTGCCACCCCAGAGGCATCTTGCACTCAGCCAGCTGCCCAAGGTCACACTTAGAATAAGTGGAGGAGGGTAGCAGGATCCACCCGTCCTCTGGGGGGCGGGCGGGGCTGGTCCGGAGCTGGCCAGAGCTTCACCAGCTTCACCACACCTGCCAGGGGCGAGTCCTGCCTTTGGTGCTGGGGCACAGTAATAAACACAATATACAAAATGCCTTGACGTTGTGGTGGGAGATGCCACAGATACTCGTGAACTAAGAGAGAGAACAGAGGAAATACGGCGGGATGGCGGTCACAAACCCGGCAGGGAAGAGGGGTACAGAGGGGAGTTAAGCTGGGAGGTCAGGGAGCCTTTGGAGCCCCTGCCTCAGCCCTCTGGGGAAGGACACCCAGGCAGAGGGACCAGCAAAGGCACATTCAGAGGCTCTGACGACAGAGGGAGGAGGGGGTGATTGGGGTGGGGTGGAGGTGGAGGCCAATCACAGGGGCAACACCTGAGTTTTTTTTTCTGAGATTTGGGATGGGAAGGGGAAACATGGGAAGGTTTGAAACATGATTGTGATTTGATATTTCTAAAGAATCTCTGGCTACAGAGTAGAGAAATGAATAGTCAGCCCTCTGAATCCATGGATTCAAACAACCCCAGATGGAAAATATTCGGGAAGAAAATCTCATAAAGTTCCAAAAAGCAAAACTTGAATTTTCCACACACTGAGCACGACCCTGAACCCACACAAATGATATGTAGGCATACCCTGCTGTCACTGATAAGGGACTTTAGCATCCTTGGGTCCTGGTATCTGGTGTGTGTGGGGGAACAATCCCGGAACCAGTCCCCTGAGGGGGACAAACGTGAGAGCAGGACAAGTGAGTTGAGAGTCCAGACAAAAGAGGCCACCTTGGCCCAGGGAGGCAGCAGGCAGTAGGACTCACCGGTGCCCTGGGCATGGGTGCAAGGTAGGGGAGTTGGAGAGGATGGCAAGTGTCTGCCTGAGCAATGACAGGATGTGTGTCGGCCACTGAGATCTGGGGGCTACGGGCAGAGCAGCTTTGTGGGCCTGCTCACTGCAGAGGCCCCTGCAGGGGAGGAGATGAAGAGGGCGTCGGATGCGCCTGGAGTCGGGGAGTCGGGCTGGAGATAGACACTGAAGACAGGTGGGAATAATCCAGGCTGTGGCCAGGACCAAAGAGCAGTCAGGATTTCAAAGGAAAAGTGGAAGGTCTTGGAAGGAACAGCTCGATAGGCGGCTCCCTCCTCAGCCTGGGAGGGCAGCTGAACGCTGACCGCCACCGAGTCCCTCCCCTCACGGCCCAGTCACTCCGGGCCAGGGGGACCGAGTGCTAGCCAAGCAAACCTTTTCCTTTTAGCCAGCCGTTTCCGTCTTCACCAAAGGAGCCAAGGAAGCCAAAGCTCACAGGAGTATTTACCGTCTCCCAACAATCACTTCTCCAGAGCTGCTGGACTTCCAGACCCCACCACGGTTCCTCGTGGGAGGCGCACCCTGTCCCAAGGACCACCCCTCGGGCCATGTGGGACCAGCCTGGGTAAAAACAGTTACTTATGGAACCAGCTTCCCCGGGGGCTGGGCAGGAGCCTGGTGCCAAGGGCAGTGCGGCTTCCCCTGCAATCGCATGCCCGGCACTTAGGGCAAACTGCTCCTCCACCAGCTGAATCGTACAGTACTGGTATCCATGTCCTTTCTCTGGATTTGGATCCCGTTGCTTATCAATGTTGGCTGTTGGGATTTGTGATCCATAAGCTTGTACAATTATTTTATATAGGTGGAGCCATATTTAATATTCTACACTCCAGGGTAGATTTTGTCTACCTAGTCTTCTATAAGCATTACATGTACTAATGTCAGCAGATTCTTGGGGAGCCCTGATGCTCCCTTCCTTGGGCCTCAGTTCAGAGGAAGAGATAAGGCCACAGTCACCCACATGCTCCTTCAGTGGCACGTCCTGGGGACAGAATGTGTCACTTCTGCCCAAGGGGCAGGCGGGGTGGAGCAGTGGCCCTCCTCAGTTGCCCTGAACACCTCCCGGCTGCAGGGCTGGCCCAGCTGCTGACCGGGCAGCGGGCTGTCTCATGGGAAGGGGAGTGGACAAATGGGACCTTGAGTCAGAAAATCCAGCCAGGGAAAAATGCCTCCTCCAATCCAAATTTTTCATCTCAATAAACCTTTTTAGTTTAAGAGTAGTAGTTCTCCAGTGTCTACTTTCCCCGCTCCGTCAAAAACCAAGGGAACTGCCTGCAGGTGTGGCTCATGGTTGAATGTCGACCCTGCACCAATAGGTCACTGGTTCGATTCCCAGTCAGGGCACATGCCTGGGTTGTGGGCCCGATCCCCAATGGGGGGCATGCAGGAGGCGGCCAGTCAATGTTCTCTCATCGATGTTTCTCTCTCTAAAAATCAATAAAAGAAAAAAAAAAACAAGGGAATGAATCAGCCTGTTTCATGGAAAGGGTCCCTGAAGCCTGGAGGGAGGGAGGGCTGGGGGCAGGACCGTGGGCCCCAAGCCCAGCTCTTTCCAGGATGCAACCCCAATTCTTTCCAGGAGACATCAGTACAAGTTAGGAAATTAGAGAAGAAAGAGCCCGAGCATTCGAACACAACTATGGCCACCTGTCACTTCACACTCCGAAGCCTGACCTCAGGAGCTCAGAGGCCTGCTCAGGCTTGCGCAGTGGGGGTGGGGTGCCGCGGGAGGCTCCGGGCGAGTCCCTCCTTGGTCACAGGTGTGGAAACCCTGTCTCTGGGGCCCCTCACCTGCACACTGGGCACGATCGCTCCTTCACCTCACAGGGATCCCGAAGCTCCGGACAAAAAAGAAGACGGAGAAAGTAGGTGTATTTTGTAAAACTTCACCTTGCTGTTTTTGAGGACCTTAATTTTTCTTCTTCTTAGTTGAAAACCAAATCCCAAAGCCAGTAATCTATGTCCCACCAACAGTGGGGTCTGAGCAAGGGCCGCAGCCATGCCAGGAGGGACAGCACTGAGCAGAAGTGCCAGCAGGCCGCCCTCTCCTGCTGCGTCCTGCGAGGTCCGGGCTAGGGCACCCGCGCCGTGGGGAGCCGAGCCTGGGCAAGGGGCCCAGGGGCCGCCCGACAGCCAGCACTGTCAGCACGGGCACACCGGTCACACAGCTGTGGCCCTGCTCCGGGAACCACAGGACAGGAAGAGCCAGCACGTCACACAAGTGCTTTTCACGAGACCACTAGCCACAGAACCTGAGTCACTCCCACCCACTGCCTTGAAAACACCATCCTAGCCCCGGCCAGTGTGGCTCAGCTGGTTGCAGTGTAGTTCAGTACTCTGAAGGGTCTTGAGTTTTGAGTCCTGGTCAGGGCACATACCCAGGCTGCAGGTCCCATCCCTGGTCGGGGTGTGTGGGGTGCGTGTGAGAGGCAACCCATCGATGTTTCTTTTTCTCCCCCTCCCTCTCTAAAATCAGAAAAAAACAATAACAACGCCCAGCCCGTGTGGCTCAGTGGCGGAGCGCTGACCCATGCACCAAGAGGTCGCCAGTTCGATTCTCAGTCAGGGCACATGCCCAGGATGTGGGCCCGATCCCCAGTGGGGGGACATGCAGGAGACGGCCAATCGATGTTCCCTCTCATTGATGTTTCTATCTTTCTCCCTCTCCTTTCCTCTCTCTCTAAAATCAATAAAGAAAAAAAAACACAAGCAAAAACCTCACCATTCTAACATGATGTCTGGGAGTTGCTTCAGAACAATCTGAGTGGGGTGAGTGGGGTGGGGGTGGTGGTAGGAATACAGAGGGAACAAGATTGGCCATGTGTTGGTATAACTTAAGCTGGATGATGAATATGTGAATATCATTCTATTTTATATACAATATTTTTCATAAAAGAAAAAAAACAATTCTACAAGTTAATATAAAATGTACTGAGAAATTCGAAAGCAACAAGTACTGCACAGAAAAGGGGACACGCGGGGAGTTTCCGGGGGCCTGTATTGCACTATTTTCTTTGGTGATTCCTCTAAGTCCTTTCTGAAGGGCTCATGGCCCCAGCCTGTTCTGAGAAGTTTTTCTAGTTAGATGACAAGCCCTGCCTTCACCCCGTGGAACTGCCCTCCAGGCCTCTTAAAAAACTGAGATTAGCTTGTCCAGTCTATGATCTAAATCGTCTTTTCTACTTGTAGGAGCAAGGGGCACAGAGACAGGAAGCTGCCCTTCTTTGTGGCCTTACATTGCACCATTATTGCTGACAAAAAATGAAAAACTGTACGGTTTTATTAGCTAGAATGCCCACTCATGCCCAGATTGGACACTGCCTTTAGGTCTCTGGGGCCTCTCCAGTCACATCTCTGAGCCTGGGCCGAATGCAGATGCTCCTGCAGTGTGCGGAAGCCCCAGAAGGCCTAGACGGGAAGAAAGGCGAGTCCCAGAGCCAGTCTGGGCAGCATTTTCTCACAAAGCAGAAGGCTGTGTATCCTGTCTCCCAGGGACTCCTGCAACCCAATCGATGAGTTCACTCTAACTGGCCACCGGGGCCATCGTCTTCTGACACAGCCTGGCCAAGAGCCCTGCCATCTGCAGAAGGGAGTTCACACCTTCGGCTATTTTCATGTGAGTGTATCCAATTTCCTAAAAAACAAATCAAATTTAAATCTGGTTAGTAAGTAAAGGAGGAATTTATGTTTTTAAATCCGTACTAATAGCTTACTCAAAATTGATGTGATGAACTCCAGCTCCAACTAGAAAATGAACTCTAAGTTATCATGGATTATGTTGAACTGAAGTTCCATTTATTTCCTAAAAGGATGTTGATATTTCTTTGTAAGATAAGGAGGCAACATTAAAATATTTATAAAACACATATCTGATAAAGGAGTTGCATCTGGAATATATACAGAACTCTCAAAACTCTGCAATGAGAAAACAACCCAATTAAAAACCGGGGAGATTTGAACAGATGCTTCATCAAACATTCTGGATGGCAAATAAGCACATGAAAAAGTGCTCGACATTACTACTTACTGGGAAATGCAAAGTCAAGCCATGGCTACCACTATATACCTATTAGAATGACTGAAAAACCAACTGAGCAGCCGTGTGCTAGCGGGATGCGGATCGGCAGAAACGCTCACTGCGGGCCGGATGCAAAATGCTGCAGCTACTTTGGGGAAGTTTGGCAGTTTCTCGCCAAGTTGAACTCACACTTACCGTTCGACCCAACAATCTCACCTCCACCCAGCGGAGTACTATCAGCAACACAAAGGAATGCCGGCCGGCACTCTCGGCAAACACGGGAACAAACCCAAAAGGCATTCAGCTAAATGACAAAAGCCGGACTCAGACTACGTTTCTGCTGGACTCCATTTGTATAATATTCTGGAAACTTCTGTCCCACAAACAGACAGCAGGTCAGTGGTTTCCAGGTGCCAGAGGGAGGACTACAAAGGGGCATGTAAAGTTGGGGGAGATTAGAGTCGTGTTTGCTCAACTAAACAATTTTGTCAAAAGAATGTACCTAAGAAGTTGCATTTTACTACATGTAAATTATACCTCAATTAGTATGACCTTAAAGAGGAATAAACAGCCCTGGCCAGTTTGGCTCAGCGGTTAGAGCGTCGGCCTGCGGTCCAGAGAGACCCGGGTTCGGTTCCCGCTAAGGGCATGTACCTCGGTTGCAGTTTGTCCCCGGCCCTGGTTGGTCATGCGGGTGGCAACCACTCGATGTGTCCCTTTCACGTCGATGTTTCTCTCTCTCTCTTTTCCTCTCTCTCCCTCCCACTCTTATGTGAACAAAAAAAAAAAAATGGAAAAATGTCCTCGGGTGAGGATAAAAAAAAATTTATTAAAAAAAAAAAAGAGGAATAAACAAACATATTTCTAATGAAGAGAGTCATCCTAAGAACAGTAGGCCACTGACTGGCCGAACGGCCTCAAACAAACTCGCAGCCCCCAGGACAAGCAGGCAGCCACCTCCATCAGGGTTGGGGACACTCACTGAGCATCTTCCTGGTGCCAGGCCTGAGAGGAACACAAAGAACACCAGTGTGCCTGCCCATTCTTGAGGAGAGAGGCATGGCTGCACTTTCACTGACCTTAATAAACTCCAGTTTCAAGTATTCTGCCATTTGGAAGGTTTTACACACTCGAAAAATGTTGCCAATGATGTCTTCTGGTGAATAGCCAAGATGCCACAGGTGAGCGAGAATCTAGACAAAAGAGGAGATGCTGAGGCTGCTGAACTCTGTATATGACAAGGACACTCAGGGGAATGAGGTTAAAGCCACACCAGTCTTAGGCCTCTCACATTGCTGGGAGCAGACAGATCATCCTTGAAAACCCAAGTGATTCTGAGAATCAGCCAAACACCATGGAGCTGGTGGGCCATGGCCTATAACATCATGTGGGAATAACTTAACTGAGTTTTCCAGCAAGCAGAACAATAATGTTGCAAATGTTTTTAAATGTATTGCAAGGCCTACTATCGTCTCTGGGGCTCTTAAACACGTTATTAATCATCCCAGTACACCCAGAGCAGAAGCAGAACCCGGTATCTGCTGCACTTTCCCTGGCTGCCAGCATCCTAATGCATCCCCCGCAGGGGCAGCCCGAACATATCCTGACCTGGTCCGACATCACAGCAGTGGTCCCGGCCTCCTGCCTGCTCAGCCCCCACTCACCCCACCTGGACTGCAGGGTCTAAAGGCAGTTGTTTTCACCTTTGCTTCGGTATCTTGAGGCAAATTCAGGGGGCGGGAGCTTGGTGTGCCCACATCTGAAGGCTTCCTTCAGGCCTACTCAGTGACCAGTCCAGGTACTTGGGTCTCTGCCTCAGTCTCCCTTCCTTGCACTCCAGCTTCACATTAAATCTAGCCCTGCCCTAAACTCAGTCAACTTCTAGCCTAATTTGGTGGGAGGAGGGAAACTGGCTTTGATCAGACCAATGGCCTCAGATCACACCATTGCCATCCTGAGGGTCACCTGAACCCCCTGGTGCCCACTGGAACCTGCTCACAGGACCAGACTCTATACTTAGGCCAGAAACCTCCAGGGCTCTCCTCTTCTGGCTGACTGGGGACTCCTGGGTCCCAGGGTGCCCACTCCCATGTTCCTCGGGAGGGTGGAGGGAACTCTCCCCTTAACAGAGAAAGATGGCTTCACTGAGAAGGAGTTGAGCTAGTCGATGTTCTCTCTCATCGACATTTCTCTCTCTCTCCCTCTCCCTTCCTTTCTCTTGAAAATCAATAAAGACAAAAGAAAAAAAGAACTAAGGGAAGCAATGCACAGGAAGCTCCCTCAGCCTGCTCAAGAAGGGAAAGGTCGCTCTGGAATCGGGGGAAGAGGCAGACCTTGTAGGCTTCGTCGATGTTGGCGCTCACACAGTGCTGAAGCATCTCCTTCACCAGCAGCGGGTGCGGCTCGTCACAGACCTAACCAAACAGAACAGAGGGCAGGTCGGCGGCTAGGGGACCATCTGAGGAGGACCCATGACACACCAACTTCTGGGTGACCTATGTAACCAACTCCTCAACCTGTTTTTTCCATCAAATTCTCCAACAAACAGAACCAGGAAAGTCCCTCACCATCAAATAAAAATACGCTGTTGACTACTGTAGTGAGAAAGGCTTCTGACACCACATTACCAATTTCTCCAACAGAAGATGAGTTAACAAGGACCACTGAAGACTCTGCTCGGGGCAGCTTTAAAGTCGATATAAGTCACATCTCAGAGCACCGGCGGATCACTTGCGCAGAACCACTTGGAACCCACTAAGATTTGGGAGGTCTTCGGGGCCGGTCTCCCACTGGAGTTGCAGTTGGCTCTCCTGGGACAGGCCTCCCAGCTCGGCGTGATGAAGGCAGCCTGTGAGTGCCGGTGCGGCTCCCTGGAGCCCAAAAGCTGCCTCCTGCCACTCTCTCCTCTGGCCTCAGACTCCACCCGCTAGCGCAGTATCAACAATAAATCTAAATGAAAGCCTTCTGATATCTCAAGATGGTGCCCACACCTGCCCGTGGCCTTCTCTTCCAGGTCCAGTTAACTCCCCTCAGAAGCCCTGCTTTGCAGAGCCCTCGAAGCTGTGCTCCAGGAGGAAACGAGACCTGAACTGTCACTACAGGTGACTAAGCAAGTTCCCCTGTATCCCTGGAAATACATCACTGCCAAGGTCTAAGTAGAGGCTTTTAGCACTGCTTTCTTTCTTTTTTTTTTATCCTCACCCAAGGACATTTTTTGATATTTTGTTCAGATAGAGTGGGAGGGAGAGAGAGAGAAGCATCGACGTGAAAGGGACACATTGAGTTGCTGCCTCCCACACGACCCAACCAGGGCCGGGGAAAAATTGCAACTGAGGTACATGCCCTTAGCGGGAACTGAACCCAGGTCTCCCTGGACCACAGTAACCGCTGAGCAAAACTGGCCAGGGCTAGCACAGCTTTCTTTACCCAAAAACTTGGTAAGAAAAAGCTACAGACAAAAACTCATGGGCAGCCCTACCCAATTTTTACCCCCAAATTAGGGAAATCAGACACCAAGCTGCTGGATGTGGCAATCAGTTCAAAAGTATTCCCAAAAGGAAAACCCTTTGCCGATGAGGGAGACTGAGACTCTTTGGGCTTGGCTTTGAAGTCCTGATGGCCCCTTGAGGCGCAGGAGTGCTGAGAGCAAGTCTCAGGTGGGAGCCGGAGGCTGCAGAGAACGCGCTGTGCTCCCTCCTGGCGGCCAACAGCTGGCTCATCTCGGCAGGCGGCCTGGGCCTGTTTCCTCGGCCACCAACTGCTGAGGAGAGCGTGTGTGCAAGGACGTGAAGCCCCAGCCCCGGGCCTGAGGCAGCAGTGGCAGCACTGGATTTACCACACACCAGTGGCATCCCTGAGTCCCTCCCAACTCTCGGGAGGGAGTAAAGTGGACACACAGGAGCAGGGCAAGCTCCCCACCCGCTGAGGGCGAGCCCCAGCACAGAGGCACCGTGTCCGTACCCTTCCTCCAGCACCGGCCACCTCCACCCCACTGGCCCCCACAGATACACAGTTCTTGTAGACAGTGATGCCCAAGCCAGCTTTTGTACCTTGAACACATTCTCGCTGTTAATGAAGCCGAATCCCGAGAAAGTAGACTGCAAGTTGTTCAATGCCTGTTGGGGAACAAAAATGTCCAGGGTGACTGTCAATCTTGGCCCTTCCCCCTCTGGCTCGGCAGAGCACCCTCTTTGCAAGGCTGCTCCCAGCCAGCCCCTGGCCCAGCAGTGCACTGGTCAACGTTCCCCACGCTGGCCACGCTCGGCTCCGTGCCTCGGTGGCAGCCACCGCACACACCTGCCTCATGTCTCCCTGGGCGGTGAAGATAATGGCTTCCAGACCATCGTCAGTGTACTGCACCTTCTCCTTCTCGATCACGTTCATTAACCTCGCGAGGATCTGGGCGTCGGTCAGCTTGGTGTAGCGGAGGACTGCGCACCGGGACTGAATGGGCTCTGAATGAGACAGGAAGAGTGAGGCCCCCCTGGCCAAGGACGGCGTCGCCCTGCTGGCTCTTCAGGTACCGCGCACAACCCGCACAGCCCAGCCATGCCGGCACCACTCTCTACCCAGCAGGCACTCACTAGTGACTGAGTAATTGGGACTAAATTTCAAGTATCAACCAATAAGCAACAAGAGGGGCCTCAGCCAGTACTGCCTTGATGACCATGACTGATCACGGCTTTCAGAAGGAAAAGATCCTCCAAGACAGAGACATCCACATGCCACAACCTGCAGGTGAGACACTGCTGGCCCAGGTGGACCCCAGATCACTCTGAGTGTGCTAAACATCAGGGCCCTTCTAGACAGGTCACAACCCAGCCAGTCTGGTAGACACAAGACGGCTGTGTGGTTTCTTTAAAATCCACAGGAGATGTGGACCACAGCCAGGGCCAAGAACTACTAGACAGATGAACGCAGAACTCTGGAAGCTATCCTTGACCTTTAGTTTAGACTATGACCAATAGCTTCTCCAAGCCCCAAATTGGTTTCTACTGACACATTGGCCTTCCTCAAAAAGTTCTGATCTGTCACTTCTTCCTGCCAAGGCAAACCCATTAATACCCCCTAATATTACAGTACAGTGCACCTCTCGCCCTGTACGTAAACTCTGCAAACCTCACCTGTCTCTACTCTCCTAACTCCACATCTGGTACCTTGTCGCTCCTGGAACAAACAGACCTGTATCTCCTGGGGGGCTCTCCCACCTAGGATGTCCTTTCCTCCAGTTTCTTCCCATTTACATCACAACCACCACTGAAAGCTCCTCTCAAACCCCCTCCTCATGCAGCCGGCCCAGATCTCCCCAGCCTGCTGTGACCTCCCCTCCTTTGTTCACACACTTTTCAAGGAACATATTCCTGTTCGCTGATTTGCATTAAAGAAACCAGTTACCATACAACTCAACAAAAGGAAGACAAACAATCCAATTAAAAAATGGGCAGAGGACCTGAATAGACATTTCTCCAAACAGAACATACAAAAGGCCAGGAGACATATGAAAAAGTACTCATCATCTCTAATCATCAGAGATGCAAATTAAAACAACTATGAGATATCATGTCACACCTGTCAGAATGGCCGCCATCAACAAATCCTCAAACAAGTGCTGGCGAGGGTGTAGAGAAAAGGGGACTCTAGCACACTGCTGGTGGGAATGCAGACTGGTGCAGCCACTATGGAAAACGAGATGGCGCCCTGGCCAGTTTGGCTCAGAGGATGAGCATCAGCCTGCGGACCAGAGAGTCCCGGGTTCGGTTCCCGCTAGGGGCATGTACCACAAAAAAACAAAAACAATATGGTGTTTCCTTAAAAAATCAAAAGTGGAACTGCCATTTGACCCAGTGATCCCACTTCTTGGAATATATCCTAAGAAGCCTGAAACACCAATCGGGAAGAATATATGCACCCCCATGTTCATAGCAGCGCTATTTACAATTGCTAAGATCTGGAAACAGCTCAAGTGTCCATCAGTAGATGACTAGATAAAAAAACGGTGGTACATTCACACAATGGAACACTATGCAGCTGTAAGAAAGAGAGATCTCTTACCCTTTGAGACATGGAGGGAACTGGAGAGTATTATGCTGAGTGAAATAAGCCAGTCAGAGAAAAACAAGTACCGCATGATCTCACTTATTTTTGGAACATAATGAACAAAATAAGCTGTCAACCAAAAGAGATCCAGAATCATGGAAGTAGGGAACAGACTGACATAACTCAGAGGGATGGGGGGGTTGGAGGGGAAGGAAGAGATAAACCAAAGAACTTATATGCATGTATGCATAACCAATCAACACAGATACTAGGCTGGGGAAGACAGGAGGGGGTGGGGTAGGAAGGAGGGAGGTCAATGGGGAAAAAAGGGGGACATCTGTAAAACTTTCAACAATAACAAAGAAGAAACCAGTCACCTCCCCAGGCTTTGACGATGCAATGGGTAAATACTATGATGAGGTCTTGGTTCCTCAGGGCTTAGGTTTATTGGGATATAAACATCAAAGTTATAACACAGTAAGACAGGGCCTTGGCAGAGGTTTCTAGGAACAGCTCTGGGAATCCCAGCCAGAGAGCGATCAACTCAGACAGGTGGAGGACAGCTTCTCTGTGGAGATGAGTTCTGAGCTGGTTTTTTTTTAATCCTCACCCGAGGACAATTTTTTGCATTTATCTTCAGATAGATCGGGAGGGAGAGAGGGAGAAACATCGATGTGAGAGACACACTGACTAGTTGCCACCTGCACGACCCCAACCAGGATGAACTGCAACCGAGGTACGTTCTCTTGGTGGGAACCGAACCCAGGACTCTGGTCTGCCGGCCGATGCTCTAACTACTGAGCCAAACCAGCCAGGGCCGGGCTGGGTTTTTAGGCTGTAAAGGCAGAAGGACCAGCACATTCAAAGGCAAGAGTGATGAAAAGGCACGGGGATTCAGGACGAGATGCTGAGGCTGCAGTGCACTGAGCGACAGATGTGGCTTCAGGCAGCAGGATCCTGAGTGCCTCAGGGGAAGGGGAGGCGTGGCTGTGCAGGCAATGGGAAACCACTAGAGCATGGTTCTCAACCTTCCTAATGCTGCGACCCTTTAATACAGTTCCTCATGCTGTGGTGACCCCCAACCATAAAATTATTTTCGTTGCTACCACATAACTGTAATTTTGCTACTGTTATGAATCGCCATCGGAAATATGTGTTTTCTGATGGTCTTAGGCGACCCCTGTGAAAGGGTCATTTGACCCCCAAAGGGGTCGTGACCCACTGGTTGAGAACCGCTGCACTGGAGGGTTAAGCAGGGGAATGGCAGATTCAGATGCACTGAGATGACCCTGGCAGCCAGCTCAGGTGCAAGAGAAGCTGGGGAACACTGCACCAGGGAAGGGGAGAAACAGGGAGGCCAGACCTGAAGTGAAGGAAAGAGGGTAGGGGTCTCAGACACTGGGGAGGTGGGACCACCTTGGATTTGATTTTGGTGAGGGGCTGGCTGTGGCTGTGAGCAGATAAAGGAGGACTTGGGATTGGTCAGGGCTTGCTGTTTGGGGAGCCAATCTCCTATCCAAGCACGAGCTCCTGGAGGGCAGGGACATGTTTCTATCTCTCTCTCCCTCTCCCTTTCTCTCTCTGTAAAAGCAATAAAGAAAAAACAAATTATAATCCAAATGCTGTAGGTATCACAAAAATTACTTTCATAAAAGAGAGGGCCAGAGCTTTCTTCACCAAGTGCAGTTTCAAATCACTGTAACTCATTAACACATAGCCCTGTGCAAAATGCAATGTGAGGGACGTCTCCAAATATAATACTGCCCCTACCCTCATAGATTACCACTGGCTAAGGAGATAAGCTATCTACACATCCATCATCAAGAACTTTTAGCAGTTTCCTCCACCATACCACTGACGTCTTGAAAGTACAGAATGTTTCATCAAAGTTCTGCACTAATGGTACCAGACACCTACTGAGAATGGAGTAAATGCTTGTTGAGTGAATAGCTAAATAAATTAATGAACAAATATGACTATGGAGGGAAGGTAGAAGGACACAGAGAATTCCTGTAACACGAAGAGCCCAACTTTGTGGGGGCATCACAATTGGTAACCTGCTTGTCGCAGCAGTGGCCTGGGGGGTGGAGGGGGAGTTGGACAGCTGAGCTCACACAGGCGGGGGTGTAGCAGGGCAGACGTGAAGCAGGGACAGTGGGACAAGAGAGCTGTGGGAAACAGTGAGAGAGAGAAATCTGAACTATGCCCACAGTGTGTATGAGAAAGGGAAGGATGTGAAACCACCAGGAAGTTGAGATGCTGAAAGGGGTGGGGCTCAAAGCAGTGAGGAAACAAACTGATGGGAAGGAAGGGGGGATGGAGGAAACTGAAAGGACAAATGCCAGGTCAAAGAGAAGACAAACATGAAAGGTTTCACAGGTGAGGCAATTCTTGGTAATAACCAAGCCTGGTGTGCAGACACCGCGCATGCGAAGTACTCACACAGAAAGTACAGAAACACATCTGGAGAGGGGCAGTGACTATGACACTCTGCACAGGATATCAAAATGTCAGGCGTGCCTGTGATGGCACAACAGGCAGAAAGACACGGGGTTCCAATCCCAGTTCTTTCACTTGCTATGTGACCTTAGGCAAATTACTCAACCTCTCTGAGATCGTTTTCTCATCTCTAATGTGGAGCTAATAATACCTCTACAAATAACTGCCCTGGCCGGTTTGGCTCAGCGGTTAGAGCGTCAGCCTGTGGTACAGAGAGACCTGGGTTCGGTTCCCGCTAAGGGCGCGTACCTCGGTTGCAGTTTGTCCCTGGCCCTGGTTGGTCGTGTGGGTGGCAGCCACTCGATGTGTCCCTTCACATCAATGTTTCTCTCTCTCTCTCTTCCTCTCCCTCCCACTCTATCTGAACAAAAAATGGAAAAATGTCCTCGGGTGAGGATAAAAAAAAAACAAAACAAATAATTATATAAGGTTAGATAAAAAAATTGATTGTACAGCATAGTGCTTGGCTCACAACAGGCAATCAAAAAGTCCCCACTCCTGCCTGGCTGGTGTGGCTCAGTGGTTGAGCGTCAACCCATGTACCACTAGGTCATCAGTTCAATTCCTGGTCAGGGTACATGCCCAGGTTGTGGGCCAAGTCCCTGGTGGGGGGCATGCAGGAGGCAGCCAATCAATGTTCTCTCTCATCGATGTTTCTCTCTCTCCCTCTCCCTTCCTCTCTCTCTAAAAATCAATAAAGAAAAAAAAGTCCCTACTCTTCTGCTGCCAAAGAGCCAAATGAGCATCATGTGGACCCCAGGCTGCCCAGAGGTGACACTCACCTATGATTTTATCCGAAGCATTACAAGCAAGAGCAAAGCGAGTTGTTTTGGAGTAGATTTCCATGGTTCTCCTCAAGGCTTGCTGGGCTCCATCAGTCATGCTGAGAAGAAAACATAAGAGTGCAGTTCGCAGCTGCAGCCAGGGGCCCCCTGGACACAAATCCCTCCCCAGAGCTTGGGAACCCTGACGTCCTGACTGAGCATGCTCCACCTCTCTTCAGGGTGCCATCTGGGTCTTACACAGGCAGGCTGCACGCGGGCACAGAGCAGAGGCTCTGAGGCCAGGCTGTCTGGGCTCATCCTGCAGCTCCTTCATCTGCTAGTTTTGGGACCATAGGCTAGTGATCTGAGCCTCACTGTCATCCTCTATAACAGTGGTTCTCAACCTACCTAATGCTGCAACCCTTTAATAGAGTTCCTCACGTTATGGTGACCCCCAACCATAAATTTTGTTGCTACTTCATAACTGTAATTTTGCTACTGTTATGAATCGCCATTGGAAATATGTGTTTTCCGATGGTCTTAGGCAACCCCTGTGAAAGGGTCGTTAGACCTCCAAAGGGGTCGCGACCCACCAGTTGAGAACAGCTGCCCTACAAAGAAATATTGACACTGCCTACTTCAAAGGGTTTTGATGACAACTGAATGAGATAATAGCATGTAAAGTGTTTAGCAGAGTGTCTGGCATAATGTAAATGCTTACATATCAGTGCTCAATAAATATTAGCTATTATTGCTATGGCGTCACAATAAAATAGGTTAAGGTGAATTGAACTATGGACTATAATATGGCAATTACAAACTAAGTTCCAAACAAGATTATAATAATGTGGTACACTGCTTTTTACATTAAAAGGAAAAACCAGGATACAAAAATCATATATATTATGATCTCAACTGTGTAAAAATACATAGTACAGAAAAAGAAAATAAAGCAAGATGTTAACAATATTCTCTAAATTTTCTTCAGACTATGAGTTACTGGGTATTTTTAATGTCATTTAAAATTGTTCATTTATACTGGTGATGGCTGTCTAACATTGTGAATGTTCTAAATGCCACTGAAATATACACTAAAATAGTTAAAAATGGTAAATTTTTTTATGTGTATCTCACAATAAAAAAAAAACATTTAAAGTATTCATCATATAAGTGATGCTAGAACAAACACATTAGCCGACTATGTCAATTAAGATGGGTTTAGGGCTCAGGCTTCTATTAAATTGCTTTTGAAGATAAACAACTAGACCACAAAAGTGCAACAGTGAAGATTTTTCTCCAGATTTAATACACCCAGAAAGGAGATTTAGAGATCAAGGTCAAAATGTCTGGCAAAGCCCTCTACCTGTCTGCTTCATCCAGGATGATGATCTTGTGTCGTCCTTTGGGAAGAGTGACTTTCTGTTGAGCAAACATTTTGATTTTGTTCCTCACAACATCAATACCCCTGAAACAACGAGCCAGAATTTAACTGTCACCTTCTGAGACAAATGTATTTACCTTCATGGGATCTTTCAACCCTCATACATCATCATGGGCCCAAATTTAGTTTATAAGTTTCCTTTTTGAGCAATTCTAACTAATTATAAGAACTGAAATTTCATTCCTTTTCTTCCTTTCTGGAGGTCTTCAGAAGAATAAAGAAATATTTACCTACTACTTACAATATAAGAAAACTAATTTTACTTTGTAATTACCATATGAGTCCACTGAATCATTTTATAATCTCAGATATATTTTAAGGTCTTAGTGATCTTTTTCTTCCTTTATCTTGAAATTGTTTGGTATTTTATTACTCTAGTAATTATTTCAACATTACTCATCAATTATTCCCAACTATGCTAACAATAACTAAAGTAATAAGAAAATAAAAGAATGATGGAATTGCCTAGAAGAATAATGTCATAGTGGGAGAAAAACAATATTACTATTGTTTCATCCTTCATTTTTTTATTGTGTTGCTTAAGGTAGTATATTGTCTTTCTAATAGGCATAAAATAAGTTCAGATACCCCATCTCTGCTCTCTTTTTTAAAGCTTTCACTGACCACAGCTAAAACAATCAAAATGTTTCATTTTCCACCTACAGTGTCAAAGAGAAAAAATTGACGGGAAGATGTTTCATAATTATGAGACAAATCAGAAAATGACTGCAGAAAGCAAATAGCACTCTAGACTCTAAGTATGGTGAAATTGATCATATAAGCAACATCTCAGACTGTTTCCTCAGATGCCAAAATCCTAGATGAACTTTCTCCAACTTGAGAATCAAGGAGTGTGCTCGCTTTGGTAACTCATATATGAAAACTGGATGATAGAGATTAGTATGGCTCCTGCAAAAGGATGTCATGCATACTTGTGCAATGTTCTGTATTTTTAAAATCAGTAAGGCATGGGGATGTAACGTACAGCATAGGGAACACAGTCAATAATACTGAATAACCGTGTACACTGTCAGATGGTTACTAGACTTACCATGGTGGTCACTTCATTGGGTATATAAATGCTGAATAACTATATTGTACATCTGAAACTAATATAATATTTTGTATATTAACTGTTATTTTATTATTTATTTTTTCCTGAGGATATTTTTCCATTTTACTTTCAGAGTGAGAGGGAGAAACATTGATGTGAGAGAGACACATAGATTGGTTACTTCCTGCACTACCCCAACCAGGGCCAGGGACTGAACTGCAACCGAGGTACGTGCCCTTTACTGGAATCAAATCTTGGTCCTCAAGCCAACACTCTAAACGCTGAGCCAAACCGGCCAGGATTTGAATGTTTTTATTTTTTTGCATTTATCTTCAGACAGAGTGGGAGAAAAAGACAGAGGGAGAGAGAGAGACGCATCAACTGGCCGCCACCCACATGACTCCAACTGGGGCTGGGGACAAACTGCAACCGAGGTAGGTGCCCTTATAGGAACCAAACCCGGAACTCTCTGGTCCACAGACCAACGCTCTAACCACTGAACTACCGGCCAGGGCTTAACTTATTTTAATCGAAAATAAATTTTAAAAAAGAATCAAGGAATGAAATATATTTCTAAGGACAAAACTAAATATATTTTCATCCAATTAGTCATTCAACAGGAAGGACTTCATTTCCAAATATCCAATAAGAACTTGGACCTTCTGTTTTGATAAAAGAACATGTGACAGTATTCTTTCATCTTTTATGATATTTGTACACCAACACTTACAGGGTACACTTTGTAAGTGATCAAAAGCTGAAAGCAGGTTTGTATACAAAGGTGACTAGAAGGAAACAGATGCTATAGAAATGCAAAAAAGGTCCAGCTGGTGTGACTCAGTGGTTAAGCTTCGACCCATGCACCAAGAGGTCGCCGGTTTGATTCCCGGTCAGGACACATGCCCAGGTTGTGGGCCCGATCCCCAGTGGGGGGCATACAGGAGGCAGCCAATTGATGTTCTCTCTCATCGATGTTTCTATCTCTCTCTCCCTCTCATTTCCTCTCTCTCTAAAATCAATAAAGGAAAACAAAATTTTTTTAAAAGAAATGCAAAAAAGTCATTGTGTTGATTATTCAAATAGGGTTTATAAATCTTAAATTGAAAATATTTTACAATTATGGGTCATTCTTTCTTTAACAAAATTATAAGCCATCAAAAATAGTGTGTTTGAGCCCTAGCCGATATGGCTCAGTTGGTTGGGTGTCATCCCATGCACCAAAGGATTGCTGGTTTGATTCCTGCTGGGTTTCAGGCTTGGTTCCCAATGCAGGGTGTGCAGGAAGCAGTCGATGTCAGGTCAATGTTTCTTTCTCTCTCTCCCCTTCCCTTCCTCTCTGAAAAAAAATTTTTTTTAAATCTTAAAAAAAAAAATAGTGAGTTTGATGATGCAAGTGTGAGAAGAACAAAAAGTAATATTGACAAAATGAATTGATTACAGGCTCATTCGTGACAGCTGACGAGCAGTTAGTTGCATTCCAAGAACACTGCCTGCTTCAAGTGTACATAGATCTTAAAAATTAGGACAATATTGAAAAGCTGAGAGCTATGTCCTCAAGGAATAACCAGACAGAGTTTTTATTTAACAGGTTCTCATTTCATAATCCTCTACTATTTCATGTTTAAAAAGTAAACCAGCACCTCATACCCTTAGAATGGCTACTAACAACAACAAACCAGAAAAGAACAAGTTGTCAGTGAGGATGTGGAGAAATTGGAAAGCTGAACACAGTTAGAGGGAATGTAAAAGGGTGCAGCCACTATGGAAAACAGCATGGAGGCTCCCAAAAAATAAAACATTATTACCAGATGTAATCCAGAAATTCTAAGTATATATCCAAAAGAATTAAAAGCAGGGTCTCGAAAAGATATTTGTGCACCCATGTTCATAGCAGCATTTTCACAATTCATAATATCCAAAAGATGAAAGCAACCCAAGCATCCATCGACAGACGAATGAACAAGCAAAATGTGGTGGTCTATTCTTCCAGAGGGATATCATTCAGCCTTAAAAAGGAAAGACAGTCTCACAGATGCTACAATATGGATGAATCTGGAGGACATAATGCTAAATGAAATGTTAGACCTAGAAATACAAATACTGTATGAAACCATTCATATGAGGCACCTACAATTGAATCAAGTTCATAGAAAATGAAAAGTAGAATGGTAGTTGCCAGGGGAAGGGTGAAAGGGATGGGTATATAGTTTTAGTTTTGCAAGATGAAAAAGTTCTGGAGATCGGCTGCACAACAATGTGAATATACTTAACACTACTGAACTATATTAAAAATGAGTAAGATGACCCTGGCCGGGTGCTTCAGTGGATAGAGCGCCAGCCTGAGGACCGAAGGGTCACGTGTTTGACTCCTAGTCAGGGGCACATACCTGGGTTGCATGTTCAATCCCTAGCCCTGGTCGGGGTTGTGTGGGAAGCAACCAATCGATCTGTCTCTCTCCCACTGATGTTTCTCTCTGTCTCTCTATCTCATCTCTCTCTCTCTCCCCCTCCCTCCTTTCTTCCACTCTCTCTAAAATTTAAATCCTTGGGTGAGGATTGAAAAAAACAAAGAGTAAGATAGCTCTGGCCAGGTGGCTCAGTTGGTTAGAGCATTGTCCCATATTCCAAAAGGTTGCAGATTCAATTCCCCAGGAGGCAACCAACTGATGTTTCTCTCACTCTCTAAAAATAAAAAAACACATATCCTCGAGTGAGTATTTAAAAAAATGAGTGAGCCCAGCCAGTGTGGCTCAGTGGACTGAATGTCGTCCATGAAGTGAGAGGTCCCGGTTCGAGTCCTGGTCAAGGCACGTGCCCGGTAGGTAGTGTGTGATTGATATTCTGTCTCACATCACTGTTTCTATCTCTCTTTCCCTTCCTTTCTCTCTCTAAAAAATCAATAAAAATATATTTTAAGAAATGAGTAAGATGGTAAATTTTATGTTACGTGTATTCTAACACAATTAAAAATAATATTTTAAATTTCCATTAAAAAAGGTAAGCCAGCCCTGGCCGGTTTGGCTCAGCGGTTAGAGCGTCGGCCTGCGGTCCTGAGAGACCTGGGTTCGGTTCCCGCTAAGGGCGCGTACCTCGGTTGCAGTTTGTCTCCGGCCCTGGTCGGTTGTGCGGGTGGCAGCCACTCGATGTGTTCCTTTCACGTCGATGTTTCTCTCTCTCTCTCTGTTCCTCTCTCTCCCTCCCACTCTACCTGAACAAAAAATGGAAAAATGTCCTCGGGTGAGGATAAAAAAAAAAAAGGTAAGCCATCCAGTCCAGTGCCAGATGACAAGCCAGTAATTCCCATTCTGTTTCAATAGGAAGGATTAAAGGAAAACACAAAGCTGGCCAGGCAAATTCCACATACCACATAGAACAGAAAAAAGGCCATTTCTGTAACAATTCAAAAGGTAAACACTTGCTGCCTTTCAGTTCTAACTCCCAGACATACCTGTCATTTGAGGCATTAAGTTCCAAAACGGCATCTTTGAGAGCTGGGCCCAGAAGGGCTCGTGCCAAACACAGGATGCTTGTGGTTTTGCCAGTTCCTGGGGGGCCCTGGGAATGAGATCTCCAGTAAGTGCTTCAAGCCAGCAGAATGAACTTAATGTAGCTCCTGATTTACTGTTCACCACTTTTTGCACTAGCCTCCCCTTCGAACCCTTGACCCCAACAGCACACACCAAATCAATATAGCAACCCACAGGCCTCCTGACCAACTTGGGGGAAATATTTTCCTTTGCAGAGGGCAATGTAAGGGCTCTGCTAGTAATGGGCCTCTCTGAGGAGCAAGCTCTGTGCACAAGAAAGCACTTTGGAGGGAAGCGAAAATGAGACTTCAAGAAATCTAGCAGGGCCAGGACTGAGTACTTACCGCAATGATAATATTGGGCACATTTCCTTCTCGTGCAAAGACCTGAAGGAAGAAATGTTCATTAGAACTGATTAATCTGTAAACCTTCAGGAGCCAAGCCTCCCCAGCCACATAGGCCTGTGTAGTAAACAATGCTATGAATTTCTCCATATGGATGCCCCATGGAACTCTCACCTCAGTGTATTCAAAACTGTATTCATCACTTCCCCTGCATACCTGAGGCCCCACCCACATTTCCCCTTCCATGGACTGTCAATGCTATCAACCCTATCACCCAAGCCAAGAACCTAGAGGTCACTGTCACCCTTGAATGGGCCTTCCTCCTCACCCCACACAGCACCTTAATTACAAAGACTTCATCATTCCTGGTCTCCTTGCCTCTAACCTTATCCCATCCCAATCCACTTCCCATACTGTAACCACAGAGAATTTTCTCAAACACACACCTAATAAAAACATTTTTAGCACTGGCCAGTTTGGTTCTGTGATTAGAGTGTCAGCCTGCAGTCCGAAGAGACCCGGGTTCGGTTCCTGCTAAGGGCACGTACCTCGGTTACAGTTTGTCCCCAGCCCCAGTTGGGGTTGTGTGGGTGGCAGCCAGTCAATGTGTCTCTCTCACATTGATGTTTCTCTCTCTTCCTCCCTCTCTCCAAAAAGTATCCTCAGGTGAAGATTAAAAAAAACCACACACACAAAAAAATTTTCACCTGACTGAAACCATCAAATGACTCCTTACTGCCTCATCATGAAGCCCAAACTCTTATTTATTTATATTGAATTTATTGGAGTGACATTGGTTAATAAAATTATACAGGTTTAGCCCTGGCCAGTTTGGCTCAGCAGATGGAGCATCAGCCTGCAGACCAGAGTCCCGGGTTCGGTTCCCACGTACAAAAAAATAAAAAAATTATACAGGTTTCAGGCATACAATTCTGTAATACATCATCTGTATATTGTATTGTGTGTTCACCACCCCAAGTCAAGTTTCCTTCCATCACTATTTACCCCCTTTACCCTCTTCTACCTCCACCCACCTCTTTCCCTCTGGTAATCACCATGCTGTTGTCTGTGTCTGTGTTTATTTTGTTTTTCTTTTCTTTTAAGTATGTTTTTTATTGATTTTTTAGAGACAGAGGAAGGGGGAGAGAGAGAGAGAAACATCTATTGGCTGCCTCCTGCACACCCTCCACTGGGGATCAAGCCGGCAACCCGGGCATGTGCCCTGACCAGGAATCGAACCGGGACCTCTCAGTCCATGGGACAACTCTCAATCCACCAAGCCACACTGGCTGGGCATGTTTTTCGTTTTTTGTTTGATCCTTTCACCTTTATGATTCCACTCATATGTGGTATCTCATGAACAAAATAAAACAACAAACAAAATAGAAACATACCCACAGACAAAGAACAGACTGACAGCTGTTGGGGGGGGGGTTGCAGGGCTGGGTGAAAAAGGTGAAGGGAGCTGGGGATTTTCCAGTGTAAATAAAGGTGTGTGCTAGTCTGGCTTTGTGAAGCCCAAACTCTTAAACATGGCTCTCGAGGCCCTGCCCAATTTGGATCCTGCCCACCTCACCAGCTCATTTCTCACACACCCCTATACATGTACTCTATAGCTTTCCTATCAGTAGGCTCATAGACCAACAGCATCAGCATCCCCTGGGAGCGTGTTAGAAATGCAGAATCTGGCCTCGCTCCAGAACTACTGCACCAGAATCTGCATTTTAACAAGATCCCCAGGCAATTCATATACCCATTGTCTGGAAAGCACTATTCCTATCAGTTGGCATCTCCCCTCCCAAGAACAATCCAAGCTTTCTCACCTCAGTGCCTTTGCACACTCTATTTCTGCTACCTCTTTTCTCTCCACCCCTCCCCTACTGGTCTGGCTAACTCCCACTCAGGCTTTGGTATCACTTCTTCCACTTGGGAATGGAGATACTGTAAGGCTGACTTCTCCCTGAACTCTTCCCATGAGCTCCCACGGCACCCTGTATCTCCTCTAGCAGAGTGCTTATCACATTGCCTGCTGACTATAATGCTGCCCCATTAGACTAAAAATCTTACTCGGGCAGGAATCATGTCCATTCTGTTCACCACTATATCAATAGTTCTAACACTGCATCATAAAGGTCTCAGAAAACATACTTAAATATTTGTAAAATGAATAAATTTGTGAAATAAATAAATACCTTGTTAGCTATTACAGTCTAAGTCCCAATTACTACAGAGACTGTCTCTGTCTTGTCTCAAATAGGTGGGATTCTAGAGTCTGCCTAAAGACCTCTAGGGCTAGGAATTCAAAGCTTGCTCTACTGCTAAACATTTCCACCTGCCTGTTTTGAAGCCAGCTGCCTTGTCACTTAGTCCCTCTAAGCAGGGTTGGCAAACTGGTGGAAGGGGGGGGGAGGGAATCCAGCCTGAGACCCGTTTTTATAAGACCCCTAGCTAAGAATGGCTTTCACATTTTTAAAGGACTGTTTAAAAAAAAACAAAAACAAAGAATATTTGACAAATACCTTATCTAGTTTGCAAAAAGCCTATGGTGTCTGTTAATGTACCTTCGCAGAAAGAGTTTGCCACCCTTGCTCTTAAAAAATATAAGTTTGATAACCCCTCTCCAACAAGCAAGCCCTTCAAACATCTGAAGTTACCTACCACTTCTTGTCATCTCCAAACTGAATGTCTCCCACTCCCTCAGTTCTTCTGGATCTGTGGCTCACCTCCATCCCCCACCTTGGATGTCTTCCCCCAAATGCCTTGAGCTTATTAAGGCACAATAACATGGTATAAGTTTATCTATAAAAAACACCTACCTCCAGCCTGCTCACAGTATCTTCATTCCCAACAATTTCATTCAACTTTATCGGTCTATACTTCTCAACCCTGTTTTTAAGAAAATGCATAAAGATGTTGACATAGCTATTTTCATGCTACACAAAAGGAAGTACTAAAGAGCAGCAATCCTGAGAACTTTGTCAGATGATATACATTCAGTAAAAATATACCAAATGGCAGCAGGTTTTAAATTTAAGGGGGTGCTCAACTGCCATTTGAAAAGTTAAGTGCATGAGAATTACACACCAGGAGCTCCAAACCCACCACAGCAAAAAAATACCTGTTGTTGCTGGAGAAGGGCCAGAGCAGGCCATCTGGACCAATGCTACACAATCTGCCTGTCACAACAGAAATGCAGCACACGTAGCACTGACATCATTTGATCTGACAGCCACGGGTGCAACTGAGCTCCCTTCTCATCCCTTACCTGCCAGTTTCTGCAGACTTGGCGAGATGCACAGCGGGGCTGGCTAGACAGAAACCATAGGCCTATCCTGTGATCCTATTAGGCTCTGTGAAGTGGACAGGCTAGAGGTCTAGTCAGACCAATACTTCTCTCTTATAAATGATAAGCAACTATGCCATGAAAGAAAATGATTTTCTTCAGTGAGAATAGAAGTGGATTTGCAATGATTTGTCGATCAGGACTTCCTCTGTCCTTTACAATACTCCCTGATTTATTATGCAGGTACTGGTTGTGCTCCAGACGCAGCTGCCTGCAGAGAAACTTGTTTGTCACATACTATAGGAAATAGAGACTCTCCTCCAAGACCAGCAGATGGAGCGTGCTTGTTCCTACTCATTTATTGAGTTAAAGATCTCAAGGGGAGGAAAGCAGAAGATACAGACATAAGCAAGACACGGTTATTGCTCTGAAGGGCTTTCCCAACGGCAGAGAGATAGAGCTTAACAAGTCCCACTACCGTGCTAAACCTGTTATAGAAACCAAGAGCTCTGGAAGCCCACCGGAGAGAGAGAATCACCACCTGGGAATGTCAGGCACTGAAATTTGAGCTGGACTTTGAACAAGGCAAAGATGCTCCTTTCAGGGCCTTTATAGCTACTCCATCTACCTGAAAGTTTCTCCTCACAGTCACATGTCTTACTCCCTGAGTTCAGGTCTTTGCTCAAATGTCACCTCATCAAAGGCCTTCTCTGAACACCATAGCTATTTACTCCACAGCACTTGTCACCATCAAATATATATCTACTTGTTTATTTTTTTACTTTGTCTTTCTCTATCAAATGTAAACTCCATGACAGCAGAGTTTGTTTTCTATACTGAAGTATCCTAAGCAAGTAGTGTTGTGCATGAAAAAGATAATGCCAGCCAAGTAGGTAATTTTAAACTTTCTGGTAGCCACATTAAAAAAGTTAAAAAGAAAACAGATTAAGTTAATTTTACTAATATAATTTATTGAACCTAATATATTCAAAATATTTTTATCCTCAACATGTAACAATTTACTAATGAGTTTTTCTTAACACAAAGCCCTCAAAATTCAGGTGTAGCCCTGGCTGGCTGGCTTGGTGGTTAGAGCGTCAGGGGTTGTGGGTTCGATTCCTAGTCAAAGACAAGTGCCTGGGTTGCAGGTTGGATCCCCAGTCCTGGTCAGGGTTGTTCCGGAGGCAACCAGTCGATGTGCATGGTGTGTGTCTCTCTCTCCCTCCCTTCCCCTCTCTCTAAAAATAAATGGAAAAATATCCTCAGGTGAGGATTCACACACACACACACACACACACACACACAAGTTAGGTGTATACTGTACACTTATAACCCATCTCAATTCAGATTAGCCTCATTTCCAGGCTCAAAGGACTCATGTGGCTAGTGGCTGGGGGGCTGCACTAGGCAGCTGCAGATATTCCAACAAGCTACACTGCGCTCCCTTTAGGTATCTGCTCTCATCAAGAAGAGGGGTGGGCCTGCCACAGTGGCTCAGTTGGGCGTCCTCCTCTGCAGAGAAGGTTGACAGTCGATCCCTGAGGGGCACCTACCGAAGGCAACCAATCAACCAACAGATGTTTGTCTCTCTCTCGTCAATACTTCTCTCTCTCTAAGCAATGTTCTGACCCACACTCTGCTTGTTGAGATCAGATCAGCCATTGTCGACCCCAGCTGGACTCAACGACCACGTCCCTAGCCCTCTTCAAACAGTCTCCTGGACACCCCCCCCCCCCCGGAGATTCCTGCCTCTCAGGGGCCCCCAGGACGATCTCCCGCCGCTGGGTTCCCCCGGGACACGACCCACCTCTGGCCCACCTATGCTCCCAGAGCACCCATCATTTATGGCCTGAGCCCTCACCACGGCAGCTCGTAGTGACCAGCGCTCCCGGGGGCCTTGCTGGGGCCCGGGGCAGGATCCTGGGACCCGTGCTCGCCTGCGCCACTGTGGCTCTCCTCCACCTCCATTCTCCTGCCGCCTCTTCCCGCCGCCCGAGGCCCCGCCCCCAGGATGCCATCACGCGAGGGACGCCGAACGCGAGCGGAAGTCGCGAGTCCGCCTCTTTCCGCGCCTGCGCAGAGGGCACCGGCGAGTTGCGAGAGGCCGCGGTTGCTATGGGAGACCTGGCGTCCCGCCTGAGGGAGAGAGGAAGGCGAGACCCGACCGCGTCGGGTTCCGAGAAGGCGGGTCGCTCCAGGAAGGGACGTTCGGCGGTTGTCGTCTTTGTGTGACCTGTCGGGAGGGCCGCGCGCCGGCAGGCCTGGCGGGGAAGGAGCCTGCTGCCCAGTGCAGAGAGCAGCAGGGGCCTGTGGATAGTCCGTCCAAATGCGGGAGCGGGCGGCGGGCACCGACAAGGACTGAGATCCATCCGTGCCGGGTGGCAGAAAGCCGACGTCAGGAACCCGCCGGTGCCCAGCGCTCCCGATTGCTCAGAATGTTCCGATTCAGTACCAACTCCCTTTGGGTGGGCTCCTGCGTGCGCCCTGAAACTTGACGTTTATTGTCGGGAATTCTCACAGTGCTGCCAGATGGGAATGACTCCCACTTTACAGAGGAGGCACTCACTGTACCTCTGTAAATGCGACTCAATTTCCTTTAAGAGAATTAGGTACTCATATCCACAAGGGATTTGAGCATTCTTTTAGGCTGGTTTTCTACCTATTTTACTAATCTTTCCTCCCATAGCTCACGTTATAATAATAATAATGAATAATAAATAAAAATATGAATAATAATTATCATTTACTATTACCTGAAATCCCATGGTGGTAGATTAAGGGGGCAGGAGAAGGGAAAGTGGAGAAATCTATGGGACTGGGTAAAAATGCAAAATAAACACTTCTTTTACTGTGGTCGGTTTAGGATAATTAATAGTTAACAGTTTACAGCACATGGAGATGGTCTGTGGGCAACAAGATAACAGTGAGGTGGTGTTCTGTGGTCTCACCCCTGGTGCCAGCCATTATACCTTTGAGGGGCCTGGAAAAGATTACTCTGACATATCAAAGGTATGTTATCTTAGATGCAAAAAGACAAAGACATGCCCTGGCCGGTTTGGCTCAGCGGTTAGAGCGTCGGCCTGCGGTCTGGAGAGACCCGGGTTCGGTTCCCGCTAAGGGCACGTGCCTCGGTTGCAGTTTGTCCCCGGCCCTAGTTGGTTGTGCGGGTGGCAGCCACTCGATGTGATCCCTTCACATCGATGTTTCTCTCCTCTCTCTCAGTTCCTCTCTCTCCCTCCCACTCTACCTGAACAAAAAATGGAAAAATGTCCTCAGGTGAGGATAAAAAAAAAAAAAGACAAAGACATGCTCATTTTAAGGTAAAGGTTGATCTTGGTCAAGGAAGCTTTAGGCCTTGGATGTGACTACCCACCATGATTTTAGTTGGGAATTTTTGTTTGTAAGGCCTGCCATGACTTGTCAGGTTTAGTAGGTGGTCCTTTTTTGTCCACAACAGGTGAAGACCTTGTCTTCTAGGTGGTTGATTAGTCATTCAAGTAAATATGGGCTCCAGAATCTATATTGTAGGTGATTGTTTTTCTTTTTTTCTTAATCCTCACCTGAGGATATGTTCATTGATTGTAGAAAGGGAGGAAGGGGAGAGAGAGAGAAACATCAATGACCTGTGGCCTCCCAAACCTGCACATCTGGGAATGGAACCCAAAACCCATTGGTGTATGGGACTACGCTCCAACCAACTGAGCTACTTGGCCAGGGCGATTGTTTCTTTACTTTTATCCTTATATTTTAGTTTTCCTTCCCCCCAAAATCCCTGTTCATTATGGAAATTTATTGGGGAAGACAATATTGCTGTTATATTTCTTTTTCATCTGTAAATTTTGTGCTTCCTTTTCCCAACCTGAGTGTTTAGCTCCTTGAGGACATGATACCTACCTCCTAATCCTAGTTTCTTCCCTTGCACATAGTGTAGGTGGGGAGCTGATACCTGCTGATTGCTCATTCCAGTTGTGCAGCCAGGCCAGCAAGGTCCCCGCAGCAGGCACAGTCCACAATTGTGTTCTGTGAGAGGGGACGGGAACATGTGCTTTCTCATTCTTTTCAAGTTATTGCCAATTGGCAAGAACCTCAAATGACAAATTCTGAAGCAGTCTGTTTTAATGATGGTAATTATTAAAGTTTCCTGGTTCAGAACTTACTCAATCTTTTTCTTCTTCCTTTTATATGATTTATAAAAAATGCTTGAGGTTGGCTGTCTCTCTTCCGTTCCTCTTTAAACTGATGGAGCCATCTTGCATATTTTTAAAATCACTATTCACAAGTCCTCTATTTCTCTGAAGGAGAGAATACAAATTTTTCCTGAAATAATAAACTTTTCTTGAAATGTCTCTGTGGTTTTCCCTTGGAATTGTTCCCATGTGGTAATAATATTCGTATTTTCCTTATAGTCAGCTATGACACCACACACCTCCCACCACATACACTGTATGTTTGTGATTAGAAACTAAACATTTTCAATAAATGTAGAAAACAGTGCACAATTCTTTTTCAAAAACCCTCTCTAACGGAGGCCTGTTGGCACTCCCAGGACTCGGCTTTTGCTGATGTGCTTGGAATAACAGGAGGATCAGAGAAGGAGGTGACCTTTGGGGGCAGAACTGCACTATCAGGACATTTTTCCTTTTCCTAGACTGAGCCTTCTGTGATATGTTGGACTTGGGCCCAGACTAAACTAAGAGCTTAAGAACTTCAGCCCTCCCCTAGGACCACACAGCACCCCCTAGGGCCACACAGCACCCCCTAGGGCCACACAGCAGCCAGGGAATGTTGGGAAACCCACAGGCTCTTGTGAAAGAGCAAAGATGAGCCAAAGCGAATTCCTACACTCCCACCAAACAAATCTGTGAAATCCCAGATATTGAATTCACCACCAGGCTAAATAAACTTCCAGATTATTTTCTCACAAGAGGGTAATGAGTTACACAGAAGAGGAAAGACTGGGAAGGAGATAAAAGGGAAAACAAAATCCTTTACCTAAAGCAAGAGCCTTCCAATCAAATTATCACATGGGGCAGGCAACAAATCTTGGTTAAAATGACACCTTGGCTTTTACCATTAGATGATAGCACACTTCCCCTGTTGCTGGATGATTTAAAAATCTGGTGGCATCTCAAGACCAGGACGACTGGATACACTTGCTTTCCACACACTCGTTGACCCAGAATGTTGAACCTGCTTAATGCGGTTTGCCTTGTTTACATTGAATTTTTTAAAATGCACTTCTTGTTTCCCAGTGGATTTCTTTATTAATTTTAGCTATTTTATTTTATTTTATTTATTTATTTGGCACATGCCCTTTGCGGGAACCAAACCCAGGACTCTCTGGTCCACAGGCTGACACTCCAACCGCTGAGCCAAACTGGCCAGGGCTAATTTTAGCTGTTTTAAAATGGTGATACTATTACTGAAATAATTGTTTTCTCTCAGATACTGTAGTGTTCCATCACTGTTAGATTTTTTCTGACATTCTTATTAGCATTTTCAACATTAAAAGTTTCATTATGTAGTGAAAAAGTATATATACTAAATATATCTATGGTATAAAAATTTGTCATTTGGGTAACATTTGTCCATGGGAATCCTCTGAATAGGTTTGTAGAATTTGGAAGCTGGTAATAATTTAGCCTGACTCTTGGTTTCTGTCTTTAACAAATATTGATTTAGTGTCTACAGCTACTGTGGTAGGAACAGAATGTGTGAACAGGGCAAGCTACCTGCCTTCAAGGAGCTTACATTGTAAGGAGGGAAACAGACAACAAGCAGCCAATCTTATGTTTACTTAATTACAATTATGGTGTGTTAGAAAGGCACTGATTGGTTGTTAGAATATTAGCAATCAAGTACCACCCCACCTGAGAGATCAGAGAGGGCTCTCTGCTTGGGATGGGCATTTGACCCAAGATCTGAGCCTTGAGTCTGAGATCTGAACACTGTTGGCTTTGCTTGGAAGGCACCTCTCAACAACCTCGCCGTCTCTCACTGCTCTCTCCCTATCACCTTGTTTTATTCTATAGTGCTTATCCACAATCTATAATTATCTGGGCTTATTGCCCCCCCCACCCCACCCCCCCACACACACCAGAATACTAGCTCTATGAGAACAGGAATTCTCTCTGTCCTGGTCACCATGGTACCTACCATCTTGCCTTTACGGCTAGCCCGAGTTGGTGTGCCATATGTCCTGAAGAATGAATGACTGAATGATAGTGAGAGTGGAGCACACAGTGGCCAGATGGATCTGGGATGAGTGGGAGTCAGAGACAGATGAGTCTAGGGTAGGACAAGAGCAGTGAGCCCCTGGAGGAGGCTAGGCAAAAGCTACCTGACCTAGTTTATATTTTAGGTCACTCTGGTTGCCATGTGGCAAGTGGGCTGGAGGGCAGCAAGGATGCATGCAGAGGAAAGGTGTGTACAAGGGTTTGTTTTTGTATTATGATCTTTTAATCTCTAAATTTTAAATTATAAAACATTGCAGATATACCGAAAATAATATCAGTGTTCATGTGCTCACTGTCAAGACAGCTGTTGAAATCTTGCCTCCTTTAAAAAAAAAAGAAGAAGTCCAGCTGGTGTGGCTCAGTGGATTGAGCGTGGCCCCATGGACTGAGAGATTCTGGTTCGATTCCCCATCAGGGCACATGCCTGGGTTGTGGGCTCAATCCCCAGTAGGGGACATGCAGGAGGCAGCCAAGCGATGTATCTCTCTCTCACATTGATGTTTCTCTCTCTCCCTTCCTCTCTCTGTAAAAAAATTAATGAAACATTTTCTTAAAAAGAAAAAGAAATAAAACATTATGGATACTGCTAATGCTCTCCACCATGTTCTTTTCTCTTCCCTTCCCTCTCCACTTTACAGAAGAGGAAACTGAGGCACAAAGAGATCAAGCTGTGGTCCCCAGGGTCTCTTGGTGAGTAAGGGGTAGACTCTGACAAGATCCGGCGCATTCAGGGTGGTAGACAAGGGGTAGACTCT